AAATTAGAGGCTTATAAATAATTGGATTTACTATAATCTCCACTCTTTTAGATCTTTAAGAGGCTAACAATAGCCATGGAGGTATGAAGATGATTATTTTAAAGGTTTAGATTTATCAGAGAGTACTGCTGTTCGGTCTCTTTCAACGCGACCATTTATTTTTTGACTAAATATTGATATTTGGGTTCAGTCATGAATCAGGCATCTAGACCCTATAAACACACACTTCGTGCCCACAACAAAAAGGTTAACATTAATGATTTTCGACTTAACTCGTTAAAAGTTATAGATTTATATTATCAGCTACTTAAGTAATGACGAATTTTTGGTTTTAGGTACTAGCTTTTACCTGCGGCTTTGCCCGCATATTACCGTTTTATCCTATGGGCGCATTTAATTGGAATACAATGTATCTTATCTCCTATGTCAGCCTATATGCATACCCTGCGTGTGTAGCAAATTTCGTAAAACATCAAAACAAAGAAACTTTCACAATTATAATATAAGTGTGGTTAGAATATTTCCCAAATACTTAGATATTTCCCCAATTTTTTCCGAAATCGGGACAGTTTTGCGTCTCAGAGTTCAGTTCAGGGACAACGGGACTCGTAATTATAAAAAGAGACAGTCCCGTTCAAAACGGGACGTCGGGTAACGTTACTCTTACCCTACCCAAGGGAAGAGAGGGGTTGTGAGAAATGGTTTTAATCTGTCTTAACGACACAGCTTAATAACCATATTAAAAAAGATAGTCATGCATAGAAATATAGGAGGTAAAATGCTGACTTGATACCGGTATTTTCCAGGTATAGTTATCACTGAATCTAAATATTATTGCACGATATCCATGATATATGTACAAACAATAAATGGTGAATCACCAATATTATAATCTTTCTATCTATGTGACTTTGGTAACCGAGGAAGGGTTCTGTGCCTTCTGGCGCTCAGTTCAGTATTAATATTGCGTCTTATTTTTTTTATACCACGACGGTGGCAAAAAAGCGCACAGCTCACCTGATGGTAAACGGTTACCGTGGCCTATGGACGCTTGCAACATTTGGAGCATTATATGGGCCTTGCCGAACCTTGTGGGGACACGCTGCTGATATTGAGTCTATCTTTGTCTTGCAGAAGCGCGCCGTCAGAGCTATATACAACCTAGGTCGTCGCGAATCTCTCAGAGAAAGGTTTAGGGAGATCAATATTATGACCGTTCCATGTCAATTTATTTTTGAAAATATTATGTATGTTAGGAAAAACCTACATTTATTTAGTAAAGTGTCTGACAGACACAATTATGAAACTAGACATAAGAATAGATTAAGTCCGCCGTTTTTTAGATTGTCAAAAGTACATAAGTCGTTCATGGGAATCGGTGTTAAATGTTATAACAAAATCCCCCAAGAAATACTGCATCTAAATGAAAGAAAATTTAAACTATGTATTAAAAAAACGTTATGTACACAAGCATACTACAAACTAAATGATTATATAGAGGATAAAAGTGCTTGGAGGCAGGCTGGTCCGGCTCCGCAGGATAATACATGAAACACAGTGATGTTCAATGAATTCTATTTGTGTAATAATATAATCATGTTGCTTAAATATTTGTATAGTTTAAAACGTTGCACAATTTATTGTAAATGTGAGAGCCCTGTAATTAACTAAATCAAATTAGACTAGTAGATTGCATTTATGTCAGCTTGGAGTTGTCATGCTCACTCAAAGATCTCGTTGGCGGTGGCACGTGCATTGGATCGCTCGATTCCCTACAAAATGGTTGAGTTGGGCGGTGCTAGGTTTCGCCAAATGTTCGTGAACGGGCACCGTCGATTGGAACTGGTCAGCTCCAGACTGTATCATTTTATTTTATTATCCTCAAGGTTATTTTCTTTTTCAGTCTTTCTGACTGGATTTGGGTGTTGCATTGTTCTCACATAATCGAACCAATAAAACTATGTAACTAGAGAATTGTATTGTAAACCTGATTGAAAAAGAGTAACCTATGGAGTTTCTTGCTCGTTCTTCTCCATAGGAATCTACGCCTTGGAATGAGCAACTAGCTTCACTTATAAATTTTTGTTGTTTGACGTTCAAAAGTGCCATCCTGGTCTAATTGAAATAAATGATTTTGACTTTGACTTTGACTTTGACTTGAAAAACCTTTTTACTCCCTTCCTGGAGAACTCTATGTTGTAGCCTTCTGGGAAAACCACGGCAGGGAGTTCATTCTACAATCGGAGGGTCCATGGGAAAAAATTCGTCTCAAACCGAACTGTACGGAACGAATTGGGCTCCATGTGTGAGCGTGAACTCCTGAGGACTTAACGGGCCGCGAAGGACTTAACGGGTTGCCGAGGCTCCGAATCGAAGGGCAGGAGGTGGAATGCTTTATGCAGCTTAACATATATGATCATGCAAACAAAATATGTAGGTATCTAGGTACAAAATTGTGAGAAATATTACTTCCCGCTAAGATATATTTAACATATTCCTGGACCCGCTATCAAATGTGTATTGGGTACTTTAGTCGATATCTTCAGGAGAAGTAGGAGTGTCTTCATTTTCCTTGTAACAAAAATTATAGGGTATCCTAAAATTAAATAAGTTCTCATCGAAAGTATACCGCCCACAGATATATTTAATATTTCTGTGATACCGCCGTATCTGTTGTATCTCCGCCAGACTTTGGTGGCGCCCAACGTGCGTAAGCAAAAATAAATAAAAACTTCCCAATTTAAAATTTATTTCAGGAACATAGAAGTAAAAATAAACGTTTTGTACCTAATTAATAGTATTTATAAGTAAAAAATATTTTCACTTTTGAGAAATCTTTACCTTCCATAAGGGTCAAAATTTCTGCAAACAAATAATTATACGGAGCCCGCATAGGCACGCTACGCTACCGGTTACCCTGTCATTATTACAGGTAACCAATTTTAATATCGGACTTAGTAATTAATAACTGAGTCATTGTATGAGCATTATCTATAGAGATATACCTAAGTTCGTATTTTTCCAAACACTAAAATCTGATTTCCTATTACTACCGATGTATGTACTTAGTTAATTTTGATTTTATTATTTTCCCCTACAATTTTTTTTGAGAGATTTCACCTTAGCTCTTCCTATCGTCCGCTAAGCAAGTCTAAAGATAACTAATCCCGTTTCAAGTGCATTGTCAGAGTAGTCAGTTAGGAAATCCTGGCCCTATTCTAGTAATTTAAAGAATGTGTTACTGTCTGTCTATTTGCAGAAATAAATATAAACTCATCATTATATTATTTCATTTTATTATGTGAATTACTAGTGACACACTGTTTAAACATCAAAATTTTTGTGCAATGTACGATTTCGCGATACCCAGTCGACAGACCAGAAGAAATTACACATGATCATACGAATTGTTATCCCCAAGCAGTCACCGGTGACCGCTCTCCACGAAGTCCATTATAGACCTTATTTCCGATGGTTAGAGACTACTTTGTATGAACAAATTTTGGGGATTTTCGGTACGATATAACAACGTATTAATGCGAACCTTCTCCGTGCCTTTGATTAGCAGTGGCTACTTATAGGCTGTTGATGGAGATGATGAGGATTTCAGTTGTCTAGGAAACAATTTTATTAAATCTATAATGAATATGTCGAGGCCATCAAATTTAAAATTTTAAGTGTGGGAAAGCCATGCTTCAGCACGAATGGGCCGGCTTGACCGGAGTGATACCACGGCCGAGCAGAAAACTGGCGTGGAACAACACTTCCGTTGTGTTTCGTTGTATGAATGAGGTAACCGGAGGTTTGGACCTCCGGTAACCTCGTTCATACCTCGGAGTAATTGGTTACTCCCCTCCCTAATTTCCCTAATCCCGAATATCCAACAATCCTCAAATTTCTAATCCCCAAAAGACCGGTAACGCCTATGGTGTTTCATGTTTCAATAGAAGAAAAAACGGACGTTGCAGTTAGCTTCAGGGTCCAAAATATCCAAATATGTTACAAATTCTATATAATAGCCTAACCTAGTCTATTGTAAAATCCTGATGCTGTAAGAATTTTAGAAAAAACCGAGTCAAACCAGAAATTTTCCTCTTTCACAAGTCGCATCACGATTACATTTCCTAAAACCAGTATGATTTGCAATTAGCTTGAAAAATATTTCTTACAAGTTCAGCTTTCTTCACCGTGCGCCTAAAATGAATCGTGTGATCAATACCTTGTATTCTAGATCTGGTGGAGACACAAGAAAGTATTAATAAAGGACCAGCACTTCATTAAAAATATTATATTTAAATAAAATTAACTACAATAAATCCTGATTTCTTTGATATTTTTCTTTACCGTATGTACCTGAATTAACTAAACGAAATAATTGTTTTATAAACTACGTTTAAAAAAATCGACTCCAACTTCTTTGTTTGATGTCGGTTAATTGATTGATATACTTAAACCCTCTCCTAAATGTAACAAACGCTGTCGCGGAGAACCTAACGGATTACCAGGGCTCCGGCTCGACGTGCAGGAGAAGGAACGAGGTGGTTTTTAGTCATTAAGAGTCTGATACGCCCGCCTCACCCAGGCGGGAGCAGTCATTCGATGATTTTCACCCTTAAAAAAAGTGTAACAAATGCTTTTCCTGAAAACCGCAACAAAATCTGTTCAGCCAATCGCGAGATAATCACGAACAAACATACACACATACATACATACAGGTTAAACTGCGAACCTCCTGTTTTGAAGTTGGTTAAACAAAAATGAACATGACAGAAAAAGTCACATTGAAACACATTCGGTTTCGAACTCGCAACTTATATAAGCATTTTAACTTCCGAACCACCAGTCACTTATAGGGGATTATCTGGGCATGACCTATTTAAACATTGATCAGAGATTTAAAACAATTGATAAGCTATTATCACCCGTATAAATGATATTATCTTTTACATTTTTAATATAAATATCAGCAATGTTTGGTAACAAATCATTAAGTACTTCGTTGTTAACATGGACTACAAAGCCGGACTTCTGGTGTTTATCACCCTTCTGGTTGGAAGCCTTGGTAAGTTGTACAACCCATATCATATTATGGAATTCTTGAGAATAAAATAACTATGGTATGTTTCGCGAATTAAGACCCATGATCATTTTTCACTTAAAAGCTACATTTTTCAAAAGGTGAAAATTGCTAAAAATTCCTCCTACAGGAACGGGTTCTGTAAACTATAAGTCTTATAATCTTTTTTGTGCCGTCTTCACTATTTTAATTTTTTTTATGTGTTACTAGATTTTACCCGCGGCCTCGCTCGCGTCACAAAAGGATAAAAAATAGCCTATGTGGCATATACCATTACACACAGCGCCATCTATACCAATAATTTTGTTTTCCCTCGGGAATACCAAATTTTTCCGGGATAAAAAGTACCCTATTACTTAATCCGGACTTCCAACTTTACGTCTGCAAAAATTCAAAGCAATCGGTTTAGTAGTTACGGCGTGAAAGTGGAACAAACAAACAAACACTCACTTTCCGATTTATAATATTAGTAAGGATTGTACTTTGTGACGGTGTGCAAATAAACAATTTTTCTTTATTTCTTTCTTATGGAAGCTATACGAACATTCAAAATTAACAATAAATTTTTCCTTATCTGTCCACAGCATTTCCAAGGCCTAAGGATGACATGTCCATCTTCTTCCATCAGAACGCCAATGGTCGTATTGTCGGAGGCACTGAGGCGGCAGTCGGCAGTCACCCTCACATGGTGGTCCTCTCCTCCGGTCTATTTGTACGAAGCTTCTTCTGCGGAGGTTCTCTGATATCCTCACGCACTGTCCTCACCGCAGCTCATTGTATTGGCACCGTCTACCTTCCGATTTCTGGTACTCTGTATAGGTAAAGAATGATAGCACAATTTTTTTATATAGAGGTAGATAGGGCGGCAAATGAACATATGGGTCTCCCGTGGATCACTTGATGATAAGTAATCAGCGCAGCCTACAGACTGGCGCTGCTCCTGCAACACCAGAGGAATTATAAGGGCGTTGTCGCTCTTTTGGCATTTAAAATTAGGAAAATAAGGATTTGTGTTTTTTTATATTTGATGGGCCGACGTTTGACCACTATCTCGCCTCGTGGTAAGAGATGATATGGCCTACGATGGAGCACGTCGTTCCATAAGCAAGCGTCTAGATTTAGGGATGAGCGAGCAGAAGATTTATTTAACTCCATGAATACAAAATGAATTTATTCCAATATGTATTTACTGTGATTAACAGGTCTCTACGTGTAACTGTTGGCACCAACCGCCATGACTCTGGTGGAACCACATACAAGGTTGCCCGCCATGTCTCCCACCACGATTACGACTTCTTGACCCTCAAGAATGATATTGGAGTCCTCATCACCGATACAGAAGTGGCTTTCAACAGTTTGGTACAGCCTGTACCGATCACTTACGACTACATTGATGGTGGAGTGCCAGCTATAGTGGCTGGATGGGGCAGAATTTATGTAAGTGCAAAAGCCTCTTTCTTTTTGTTTCGGGATATAATTGAGTAAAAGGTGATAATGGAATTTTCTAATCTATACTAATATTATAAAGCTGAAGAATTTGTTTGTTTGAACGCGCTTATCTCCGAAACCACTGGTCCGATTTGAAAAATTCTTTCTGTGTTGGATAGCCCATTTATCGAGGAATAGGCTATAAAATATCACGCTACGATTAATAGGCGCCGAGCAGAACGAATGAAACCGCGTGGAAGTAGTTAGATAATTTACTCTTTGTAGCCCGAACTCTAGAGGTTGCCTTATAAACATCAACGATAAACCTACCATTACAATTAGACAGAAGCCAAAAAGAAGCCAAAAACTGGCCTAGCCAAGAACACTTCTTGGCTAAGCCAGTTCTTGGCCAGGAGAAAAACGTCATCAGAAGAAACTAAATTTGATCAACCTTGCAAAAAAATTACTGTGCTGATGTATGTGTAAAGGTTCGGTCATATGTACATAAAAGTAATTAAAGTATTTATCTTTTTATTGCAGCAAGGTGGTCCTGCCTCTGATGAGCTGTTGGAACTGAAGACCACTACTATTGATAGTAAGGACTGTGTGGAACGCGTGATTCAAGCCGATATCGAATGGGAGTACCAAATGTATACGGATCCTCGTGTAGAGGTCTGCACTCTACATAGTCCTGGATTTGGCGCTTGTAATGTAAGTCGAATCTCTCTAAATATACCTTATTTTATACCTACAGCTACCTGCCTATTTTGTCAACAGATAGTAAAAATTTATAGGGACCATTTAATTGAAATTATTGGTTTAACATTTTACCTAAAGTGAATCAATTGTAATAAAAATATATGACTATATTACATAAATACATACTTTAAGTTTAAGGTACAAAGCCCATTGGGACAAGTAAAATGAAATCTAAGTACCTAATGTGTGTAAAATTGTTAATGTTAGAAACTGGTTTAACATTTGTTTTTAAACAAATTATAACAAAGTTGGAGTAACTAGTAACTTGACATGTTGTAGAGTATGTTACACGATGTTATTGTGTTTCACAATGTGGTGGTATAACGTTATAAATAATAAATAAATAAATTTAATTTTATTTCGGACAGCTTAAATCCATTTGGTTAGTAAACAAACAACTTATAAAACTAGTGTTAGTACTTAAAATTACTGGTTACAATTAAAACATGACTTACGCCACAATAGCATGCAGGCGTATCCAATGCCCCAGTATAGGGCTGTCCCATTTGTCTGCTATAGTCTTCAGGATGCTATTGGGGCTGACACGCACCCTATGCATAATTGAGGCACAAAGTTTTCGTATGATGGCATGAAAACCATCAACACCTGCCTCTGCGAACATGCTAGAGGCACTGCAGTACCGCGGCAACCCCACCAGCACCCTGAATGCGTTATTGTATTGAACTCGCAGAGCGTTGTATGCCCTCCGCGTGTAGTCGACCCACAGACCGCACGTATAGAACGACTGACAGTACGCTTTAAACAACGTTATACTATGTGGGAGCACCTTTAATTGCAGATTCAAAAATTTTTGTTCACAAAATGAATTTTCACAATTTTTCTTCCAGGGCGACTCCGGCAGTGCTCTGCGTCGTATTGAAGATGGCCAGCAGTTCGGTATCGTATCATGGGGCTTCTCATGCGCCGTCGGTGCTCCTGATATGTTCGTCAGAATCAGCGCTTACGAGAGCTGGTTGAAATCCGTGATCGTTTAAAAACCATCAATAGTAAAGTTTCAAGACTTTCAACTGACCAACAATTAATGCTTTGTCCATGGTAACATTGTAATAAATTAACTTCAAAGCAAAATGTATTTTATTTTTGAGTAACTTAAAATTAATTTCATGCAGTTATAGCAGGTGTAGGGGCAGTTCTGATAACTTATTAAAATAAGATCAAAAATATTCATCATCATCATCAACAGTGTAGAGGTATAGTAGTAGTAGTACCCACTGCTGAGCAAAGCCTCTTCTCACACGGAGAATATTTGAGCATTAAGCACCACGCTTGCTCAATGCAGGTTGATGATCTCAAACTTATAATTCGAAATTGCCAAGGTTTCCTCACGATGTTTTCCTTTACCGTTTGTCAGTGGTGTCTAAATAATCTAAGAAAGTACATATAACTCGAAAAAGTCACATCAGAAATTGCCGTTGGTAGGTTTCGAACCGCACCTCATGCTAATGCATGATGAAGCTTAAACGTCCGGGTCTCCACAAATATTAATAGGTAATATTTTTTTGCACATTCAATTGCTGGGCTTACCCAATGATTAAACAACAATTTTGAAAAATGTTAGAATCATTAAACAAATGATGATATTAAAACTATGTCGAATGATGATAGAGATAATAGATAAAATTAAACGCTTTCAAGTCGTGTGATGACAGCAGAAATGTATACACTTGTTACTACTCAATTAAGGGACGATATAGTATATATACGACGGATAGAGACTGGGCAGCAGAAACTCCCTGATCCGAAGCTGTAGACGACTTATCGGGTTACTGTTTCTCTGCCTCGGAGCAGGAACCCTTACGGTTCACCCTTACCCCTGCTACCGCACCTTTTTGATCACGCTTTTTGGGTTAGGAGGTAGGAGTTCCTGATAAACTCCTACCTCCTAACAGGTAACCTGCGAGTAAAGAAGCTTCCGTTCCCTGCTGGATATGGGCTTCTCTTAAGCTCGCTACTCTAAGCATGATCTTCATCCCTTTGCATCCAACTACTGCCAGCTTCTTTGCAGATATCGTCATTCCACCAAGCTGAAACGCCCAACACTATGTTCGCCTAAACAAGGTATCCACAGGAGAAAACGTCTACCCCAAAAGTCATCGATTCTCCGACAAATGTGACACTAACACCTCAGCTTGGTAATCCCTTACGGAGTCGCGGAGGACTTAACGGGTTGCCGAGGTGCCGGCTCAAATGCAGGAGTAGGAACAGGGTGGTTTCCAGTCAGTAAGAGTGCAATAAGAGTCATTCCCTCTCGTCTCACCCAGGCGGGAGAAGTCATTGGATGATTTTCCCCCATCAAAAAAGAAAAGCTTGCTCGTTGGGCTACGTCAATAACTTCCCATAGAAAACATCTTACTTCCTGCCGGGCAATGACCTGCAGGTACTATAGGCGTCAAGAGGTAAAATATTAATTATTATCAATTTTTAGGTTCGTCACTTATCTTTAAATCTAAGCACTTACCTAAAACACGATAAACAAAGAGTCATTGAATCATTTATGAATTGTTATTTAACTCGTCGAGTACCGGTTTTGTAACTCAACGAGTTAAATAACGACAAGTATGATTAGGGATTGTGGTCGATGGGTTCCGCATAGTTTTGACTTTTTATCTGACTTTTCTTTCAGTAGCAGCTTTTGTATCAAACTTCATATTTGAACTTTAGTCAATTAAAATCTCTAGGCATATTTATTAAACCTTGAGTTTTGTTACCTACGATTAAACAAAATCAGTGGTTAACTAACAATAATGAGTTACTCACGTAAATATATTGAGTGAGAAAAGTTTTACTGGTTTGAAAGGAAGAGTGGCGACCGGTGTGAAAGATAGCGTCCAAAATTGCAATGAAAACAGGTAATAGTATCTTTCTGAGAGAAGAAGGAAAGACACGACGATGAGATGGTTCAAAATATTACAGCAAACTTCTTTCTTGCCAATTGTGTGGAACAGACCGACTCTCGCAGCGACTTGTTTACTGTCATTGTTGGCTCCCTGATAATTGCTTTAATCTTCTGTCATAATAACATAAAATAATATTATCTAGTGTAGAACCCTATGCAAGTACTTATGTCATGACAAGTAACGTATTGGTATCTGATTTATAATTATTACCATTGTTATCTGTTAAGCTCGCTGGTTTTCCCAATTGATACAATCTTCTATCACTGTTTTTTGTTGATAAATTGTTTTAATAACAAAATTATTATATTATTTCTAATGATTAAGACCACATTGCTAAAACCAAAATCATCATCAATTATCATAGGACTCATAATTATTGTTTCTTCAAAAGGGTCTAGCCTGGAATTAGGCTGAGATACTGGTTTGAAAAAGTTTCTCTTAATATCTACAATATCCGAGAATTCCAGAAAATAGTACCGACAAATAGGACCCGGCAAACATAACCGATAAAAAAAGAAATCTCGCCTTTTAAACCTTCCCTGGACTTCTATGAACATTCCAAAACCAAATCGGTTCAGCCAGTTCAGTTCAGTTACGGCGCTTCTAAACGTAATATTTATGACCTAAAAGTGGGTATTCTTTGAGGTATGAACAACTGTAACCTGTAGAGATTGGAAAATATTTATCTGAAACCTTCTCTTTAGAGGAGATTCAGCAAGACATATACTCCGTCTGATGGTGAAGCATTACTGCCTTTTTTGTTATCCGTAGGTATCCACTTATATATTGATCAGCACGTCAACAGCTGTTATCAATTTATCAATACAAATTAATGACAATTATCTTTTTAATTAACGTTATAAATATCTGCATTGTTTCGTCAGCACATCACACGTACTTCGGGCGTTGTTAAACATGGACTATAAAATCGGACTTCTGGTGTTTATCACCCTTCTGATTGGCAGCTTTGGTGAGTTATAGAACTCGATATCTATCTATAGTAATTTATTAAACTTTATATATATCTTATACCACGGGGAGGAATTGTTTTACCTAATACCTGCCGCATCTTTTCGCCATCGATCCTCACGACAGCATATACATACATCCCCACCATATAGATGGTTGGTAGGCCACAACTGTGCGCTTCTCACGTAGCTTTCTGCCTCGCACAGCAAAACTGTGGAATGATCTATCGTCGGCGGTATTTCCGAACCGATACGACCTTCAAACCTTCAAGAAAAGAGTGTATTCCATTTTAAAAGGCCGGCAACGCACCTGTGGCTCCTCTGGTGTTGCATGTGTCCTTGGGCGGTGCTGATCGCTTACCACCAGGTGATCCGTCTGCTCGTTTGCCTCCTATTCCATAAAAAAAAATTAAATAAGTGCCATCAAGATGATTTCACAAATTATCACTAATTTTTATCCGACTTCAAAGGAGGTTCTCAGTTTGACCGACTTTTTTTAACTCGTCAAATACCGTCATTATAGACACAATTATAGAACAATAGGTTGCGGTCACCGGTGACCGCTTGGTGTTTGACAGTTTAAACGTAGACTTGTTTTTTCAGCTCTTCCAAAGCCCGAAGATGATATGTCCATCTTCTTCGATCACACCGACGCTAACGCTCGTATCGTCGGTGGTACCCAGGCGGCTGTCGGTAGTCATCCTCACATGGTGGCAATGACCACTGGAGTATGGCTGAAAAGCTTCCTCTGCGGAGGTTCTCTAATCTCCCAGCGCACCGTCCTTACTGCTGCTCACTGCATTGCTCCAGTTTTCGGCGGTGGTTCTCTCCTGAGGTAAGTTAATTACATCTGTTGTCTATCCACACCATTTTGTCTTAAATACTTGCATAAACTAAAACGTGTTTTAGAGCAATATATCTTCTTGTGGGTGTTGCTTATCCTATCAGTTGATATTTTGTAAATAAATCATGTAACTATTTGATTCTCATGAATTTATCTTCTATATAAATAAAAATGAATTTCTGTTCGTTAGTCTCGCTAAAACTCGAGAACGGCTGAACTGATTTGGCTAATTTTGGTCTTGATAGGTTCGTGGAAGTCTAGGGAAGGTTTAAAAGGTGAGAAAAAACTTTTAGGTGGTACGAAGTTTGCCGGGTCAGCTAGTTATTTGGATATAACTTTTTGCAGGTCTGTACGTGTTGTGGTTGGCACCAACCGCTGGAACAGTGGCGGTGTTGTTCATACACTGGATCGTAACGTGACCCACCCCCACTACGTATCATCTACCATCAAGAACGACATCGGAATCCTCATCACCTCCACCAACGTGGTTCTCAATAACCTGGTGCAGGTTGTGCCCATCACCTACTCCTATATTGGAGAGGGAGTACAAGCCCGAGTTGCTGGTTGGGGCCTAACTCGGGTGAGTGAACTAATGTAATAAAATACTAAAATTTTCAACAAAGGATTTTAATTAAAAAAAGTAATTATTAGTAGTTTTTATTTGTTTAATGCTTGGGGCTTCATTTTGTTTGGTGAAGATGTCAATAGCCTTGGATACCACGGCTTGTCGTGTAGCCGTAGTGCGGGCCGTTTTGCTCGACACGCAAGTATTAATGACATAATTCTTCGAGCTCTTGTCTCCGTTGGCGTACCAGCTACTTTAGAACTTAATGGTTTGGTACGCAACGATGGTAAGAGATCCGACGGTATGTCATTATTCCCTTGGAAGATGGGTAGGCCTTTAGTATGGGACGCCACTTGCGTTGATACTCTGGCGCCATCCCATCTTCCAAACTCAGTGTCGAGCCGGTGCTGCCGCTGCTGCTGCCGTGAACCTCAAACGGCGAAAGTATGATAGCCTGATTGGCAATTATGCTTTCGAACCGTTTGGGGTTGAAACTTTAGGGCCGTGGGGGCCATGTGCACATTTTCTTTACAAAGATATTGTAAGGAGGATGGTTGACACTTCAGGTGATCGAAAGGCTGGCTACTACCTTGGACAAAGGTTTGCAGCTTTTGGGCACCCTACCTCACGATAGCGATGAGGAAATTTTTTTTATGCCTTCAGATAGCATTTTTATTATTATTACTTTTTTTAAGCTGTACATTTTGTAGTTCATAGTTATTTATATTTTAAGTTGTATATATTTTCATTTAGTAAAAGTATAATATATGTGAATAAAATATATATCGATATCAATAAAAAAAAGTAAAGGAGCAATAATAAAATTGGATTGACCATGACAGCCATTCTTAAAAAAAAATAATTTGGTAATTTCTTTCGTATTCCAGAGAGGTGGTATGTCCGTGTCCCGCACTTTGATAGAACTGACAACTCGTACCATCGATGGTGACGACTGTGTAGCTCATGCAGCACGTGCAGCTATTGAGCTAAACATGAGGCATGCTCCTCCAGTAGAGCCCCATATTGAGGTCTGCACCTTCCACTCCGCTGGATTTGGCAATTGCAACGTAAGTCTTTCTTTTAAACCATTTTTATTATTAATTCAAAAATTTTTAACCACTATTGTGTCTTTCTGGATGGTGCTTATACTGAGGCATATTTTTAATCAATCTTCGTTTTTTTATTTCAGGGTGACTCTGGCAGTGCTCTGCGTCGTGTTGACAACGGCCAGCAGTTCGGTATCGTGTCCTGGGGCTTCCCATGTGCTCGTGGTGCTCCTGACATGTACGTCAGGCTCAGTGCATACGAGAGCTGGTTGAAATCTGTCGTTGTCTAGAATACAAAAGAATAACTTCTATGCCAAGGAACGACTGCTTTAATTTTTATTTGATTGGTTTGTAAATAATAAAAAATAAGTTGATATTATCTTTTATTTTTATGACATGTATGTACCAGTAGCATTGATTAGCTATAATATCTGTTGTATTATCAAAATGAGTTTAAATGAGCAAGTTTCTTGATTAGTTTTTCTCGGTCTACAGTTGTTGTGGAACAATAATGTGCACTGTAAAACGGCATTTGTTAGATGGTTAGATTTCCGTAAATGTAAAAGTCATTTAAAACGTTAACAAAAGTTATTACACGGCAATGTCAAGACAAGTATAAAAACACTTCTTCTTTCTTCTAGTCTTTTCAAAATAAGTCATGATGCTATAGTTTTTAGATTTTTGAAGCTACTGACTCGCTGAACTAACGACGGTTACGACAATAACGACGACATTGTTATACATTAATCGTCTAATAAAATCCCACACTTAAATGTACAATACCTGGTAAATGTTTGGTGATTTCCAATCAATATTCAATTTATTAATACACAAAGTATACACAAATGCTTATTATTATATCCCTCAGGGAGTTGTTTTGTGGAGAATCTGACTCCCAGAGTCCCAGCGCAGTATTCTGATTGCTGATCCTTGTTTATGCTATATCTACACCGGTGCTAGGTGTGTAAGGTCTTACCCGATTATATAACACAGTATCTTTATGTTTTTATTTAGTCTTGGTTAGTCTGGGGTACTGATTGGGTAAGAAAAACCTTTCTAACTACTACGATCACTAAAATCCACAGAAAATAATTTGACAATCTATACAGACACCTGCATCGAGTAATGGGATTTCAGTAGATTTTCGATTATAATTAAAAATTATCTACTAGTTTAAACATAACTTGTCTACATTGTGGTGTTTTTCATCCAGATTTTAAGAAGTTACGCATCTTGGGATTTGAGATAGTTTACGACACGTATCCTTGGCGTTGCTGACTGCATGGCTCATGCTCCTCGCGCCTCCCTGGCATTGTCTATATGCACGACTTAAGACGTGCGTAATTATTTTATTGGATTGCAACAAAATCGTAGGTACCTATGTCAATTTCAATTCCATCCATGATTCTTGTGTTTATAGCACTTATTTAAGAAGGTTGATCGTTTTACAATACCGAATCCTGCTATTTTCGGAAAGTTATGATTGCAAAAATGGTATTTGATTGTTTACAAAATATTACTTTGGTATTTCCTGCAGGGTGACTCTGGTAGTGCTCTGCGTCGTCAGATTGGAATAGCGTCTTGGGTCCTTCCGTATGCTATCAGTGGTCCTGACATTTTTATCAGGATCAACGCTTGAGACCTGATTGAAATCTGACATCGCCTAGGAGATAGAAAACAGAAAGTATTATAAATGGACCCTCTTTTCAAATATGAATAAAGTATAAATGAATTTGTTCACTATTTGCCTTTTTATTTTCATGATTGTATTTTGTAAAGCTTTTTCTTATATTGAGCCGCCGAGTGGTCGCAGGGGTCTCGGGTTCGATTTCCGAGTCGGGCAATGTATTTCTAGGTTTTCTTTAAAATCTCAGTAATAGCACGGAGTCTGGAATTATCCCCTGAAAAGTGGGTTCTACATTGTAGTGACATAATGTGCACCGCTGCGTACCCCTTCGGGGATAAAAGGCGTGATGTTATGATATGTTCTTATATTCGCACACGTTTTTTATGAATGATCTACTTTAAGCACTTTAAAAATACTGTTTAGTTTTATATATACCTAGGTTTAGAATTTGTAAACATGGAAAAATGGAAAAACAAACTATTTATAAGGCATCGAAAAACTCGTCCGCATCGACGTCAGTGGGGAAAGTACCCAGAAGGCTGGCAGCATTGCTACGTTGTATGGCAATGCTTAACCTCTGACCGAGAAAAAGACCAGCCCTCTGGTCACGAGATGTGTCGACCAGGCGTTTCGAGATGTTTTTGAACAATTTAAGCGCACTCGGACCCCACGGACCTAACGTCTCAACCCCAAACGGCTCCAAGATATAACTACCAGCAAGGTTGTTATACTTGTTGTTATATTAATTTTAATCTTAAGTTGTATATATTTAATTGAGTAATATTTAGTTTTTATTTTATTTAAGTAATATTTGTTATTTAAGTTTTTTATAGAAATAAACGAAGAATGTATCAATGTTATTTTGGTTAAGACACACAAATAGGTACCTTTAATATTACCTATTTATTACTATCCGATACTATAATTGTGATACAAGAAATATTATCTATTAATTAAGCTATTTGGTTTTCCCAATTTATATAATCTTTTAGCACTGATTTTTTTATTATTTTTTTCAATCGTTTCCTCTACAGGGTCACGGTAATATTATCATACAGTAGTGTAACTCGGCGGCATGACAGAGTTAAACACCTATCTAGAGGTACAGCTGCGCGGTACGTAAACGTGCGTTAGGGTTGCCCGTCTCCAGTATTTTAGTTACATTTACCTACTTTCTGTTTCTATTTAGTTTGGTCTTTTTTTACACAAACAAATAAAATACTTCGTAAATGGAATAGGAAGTGTTCAATAAAAATGCATGTTGCGTTTTGATTGGTAGATTTAATTTAAAAAACATGTTATTGTTTGAAAATCAAATCGGCCTTATAAATTTGCGACCGAAAATATTTGCAAAAAATACAACCAAAAACCGCACAATATATCCTACTCGCCATATTAAATATGTGCTGAACTTATTTTTAGTAAGTAAATCGCGCGTATAATGTTAAAAAAACGACACACATCCCGTTCGTCACTGCGGCACAGTCGCGACTGTTATCATGCCGACTGCATGCCACGGTCGAGGCGCGTAGGCATAGCTTACGTTTCGTCCGTTTGTATGAAGTTGGAATACTGTATGATAATATTACCGTGACAGGGTCAAGTTTAAGACTACCATGGAGTCATGGACACATGTAAGTCCAACTTTGAATATTAAGTCAACAAGGGATGAACAACAGTGTCATGTAATCTTTTACGAATGTCCACACCAATTAGACCTCAGTTGGCCCAAATATTTATTTAGGGAGATGCTTTTTTTTCCGGCTGATGATGAAACAGTACAAAATTTCTTGTTATTAAGTATCTATGTATGTTTTGATTGAAACGTCATTACAATTGTTATCAATTTATCAATCTAAATTAATTACAATTATCTCTACAATTGACGTTATAAATATCCGTATCGTTGAATCAGTTCTTGACATACACTTCGGGTGTTGATAAATATGGACTTCAAAACCGGCATTCTGGTGTTCACCCTTCTCATTGGAAGCTTTGGTGAGTTGTAAAACTTGATACCTATTAGCAAAGGTCTATTTACGTTGGAAAATACAAGTGTCATCAGAATTTGGTATGTTTCGTTCTACTTTTACGAATTTCTAACCAATCTTTCAGCCCTTCCAACGCCCGAAGATGATTTGTCCATCTTCTTCGACCACACCGAGGCCAACGCTCGTATCGTCGGTGGCACTCAGGCAGCAGCCGGCAGCCACCCTCACATGGTAGTTCTAACTACCGGAACACTAATCAGGAGTTTGGTTTGCGGAGGTTCCTTGATCTCTCAACGCACTGTTCTGACTGCAGCTCATTGTATTAGCCATGTGTTCAGCTTTGGATCTCTGTCTAGGTAAGAAGTAAAGAAGATAGTGACATAGAATTATATAACTGTCTATTACTCAGTATCTGTCTAACTATTTCAGTACGTGGTAGATTTCTATACTGATTTAAACTTCATCCGTAGTTCTCTCCGTGCGACTGTTGGCACCAACCGCTGGAATAGTGGAGGTACTTCCTACAGACTGGCTCGCAACGTGACCCACCCCAATTACGTGTCTGCTACCATTAAGAACGACATCGGTGTCCTCATCACCTCCTCCAACGTGGCTCTCAACAACCTGGTGCAGGTCGTACCCATCACCTACAACTTCATCGGTCAGGGAGTTCAGGCTAGAGTTGCTGGTTGGGGTAGAATCAGGGTGAGTAAACTAAACCTCGGTTGTTGATATCATATTTGAGAACAGTAAAAACAGGTAAAAGATAAGTACATTAATTGTTTTTTATTCGTATTCTAGGCTGGTGGCTCCCTCTCTGCTACTTTGTTGGAACTGACAACTCATACCATCGAAGGTAACGACTGTGTGGATCGTGCAGCTCGCGCCGCCATTGAACTCAACGTTAGGAATGCTCCCCACGTTGAGCCCCATATTGAGGTCTGCACTTTCCACTCCACTGGATTCGGTACTTGCAACGTGAGTACTACTAATTCTCATCTATTGTTCAGTTTTCTTTTGAACCATAATACTTAATTCTGACCAAACACTATTACTTCTTATTTCAGGGTGACTCTGGCAGTGCTCTGCGTCGTGTTGACAACGGCCAGCAGTTCGGTATCGTGTCCTGGGGCTTCCCATGTGCTCGTGGAGCTCCTGACATGTTCGTCAGGATCAGCGCTTACCAGAACTGGTTGAGTTCTGTCATCGTTTAGGATACAAATATAGAATGCCCTCGTGCGAACGTGCTTTGATTGGTCTGTAAATAATAATGTTATCTGTTTTAAATGGCTTTTATTTTTCATTATCGTCTTTATTTCTCTTACTAGTAAATAAACAAGCGATCAACGCTGTTCATCGCAACACTATAGAAAATTCAAGTGCGGTAAATACGCGACTGGTAACCTTACACACGCAGAATAAAACAACGCATTCTTTCTCGCTAGTTTTCAGTGAGACCGTGGTATGACTATCATTTGTACTGATAGAATTTGGATTATCTAATAACAGGGTAAGCAATATGAGGAGCTGTTTGGTGGATTTTTCACATATCGAATTACATCATCGAAATATTCACACGGTTCCCTTTATAGCCTATGGTAGGGTCATCATAAATAATGTAGGATATCAATGGTAAAATTTTGGTTAATTTTTTAAGTCGGTCTGATAGTTTCAGAGCCTTTTCATTTCAAATAAAAAATCAAATCTTTCCTCTTAATAACTAAATCGACGTTCATATTTTTTTATATTATTGGGTTTTTTAAAAATTCTCAGTAGTAGCACGGAGTCTGGAATTGTGCCCGGTGTATGGCAATAGGCTCACCCCCTATTACATGGGACTCGTAACATAAATAGTGAAAAGTGGGTGTTACATTATACAGTGGCATAATGTGCACCTCTGCCTACCCCTTCGTGGATAACAGGCGTGATGTTATGTATATGTATGTATTTTGTTTATTTATTTTTTAATTAGTGAAGAATACCAATAGATGGCGCTACATGCCCGTCATACATTTACATATGCAGATAATACAGTATTCAATGAAAACATTTTTATTCAATCTTGTTGTAATAATTCTCCCGAGAACAGTAACACACGCAAAAGTTATCAAGTAGTAATAGTTAAAATAGTTACTTTAAGAAAAAAGGAAACCGGCAAACATCGGCCTCAATGGACACAAATGAAATACTATGCGTCTTTAATTAATAATAATTATTAGTCTTTAGGCTTGTGTAGTTAGGTTTTTAATATAACTAGTTCTGGATATACCAATTATTTTATATAACAATTAAACAAAAAGTTTTGGACAGATGTATACTCCCTTCTCTAATATAAGCGTGCCAAGCCTGGATGTTCACACACAAACTGAAAACGAAAATATGCATATGCGGATTACAAGCATGTGTTGCTTTCGTCCATGCGTCACTGCAGGGGTGCCAACTGAAAATCAGTGTTGGGTGCTCATTGTGCCCAGCTTTTTGCTGCGTTGGCGAGTCATTCGGCTTGGGCATGTCTGCCAATATCGCGCAGTTTGTTATCTTTATATATATAATTCTTCTGTGAGTGTGTATGTCACTGAACTTCACTCAAACGACTGGACCGGTTTTGATGAATTTTTTTGTATGTGTTCAAGGGGATCTGGGAATGATTTAGATTCACAAATCAACCCGGCAGATGGCGCTGCAGTCGATGTTTAGGTTATTTATCCTAAACAGCTGAACTAATTTGAATGAATTTTTGTTTATACATTCAAGTGGATATGCAGGACAACGTCTGTTGGGTCCGCTAGTATCTTAATATGTATATTGTTGTTTCATTTTGGAGGTTTCTCCTTCTCGGGATTGACCCGATGAAAATAGGCACCGCATGATAATAATAATACTGTTGTGATTATAAATAAATAAAATATTTTTTATTATCTGGTTTTAGTTTTATAACTTAAATTTTTGCCTTTTTTTCTCAAAGTTTGTATTGTTATTTTGTCAAATTGTATATTCTTTTTTTTGTTCCTGGCATTCATGTCGTATGCCGAATAAAACACTTTTCATTTCATTTCAAAATCAGATCATGTCAAAGAAGTATGGAGAGAAGCATCCTAAACATCAAAAAGACACACAAAACCAATAGGAAAAAATAACAAAAGTCACCTACACGCATTGGTACATTCGATGAAACTAAAATGGCGTTGGGCTGACCACATAGCTAGGAATACCGATAATAGGTGGACTTTCCTCCTAAAAGTTTTCTTGAAAAAATTTAAACGAATGTTTTATTTCTGTTCCCATGCAATGAATGCATCTTTGCTAGTGCAGTGCAGTTTGTCCTTCTTAAAGAAATCAGCTGGACGGATGGCAACAAAATCTTTAAAGGCATTTTGTACTGTCTTTTGGGTATTGAATTTTTTTCCCGCAAAGAAGCTATCCAAATTCTGGAAAATGTAGTAGTTTGTAGGCGCAAGGTCCATGACTAGTGTGGATGATGGAGGCTTCCAACCCCCGTTCTTGTCACTTGGTGACCGTCAGAAGTTACACATATTGAGAATTGCGACGTGGTTCAATCCTATATATATAATATTACTATTTATATCTTAAGGCCTTCGTATCTATCTATTTCTTTCTTTCTTTATTTAAACAGGAGTTTATTTTTTTTTTCTTGTATGGAAGGACTATTTTATATGGATTGTCAGTATACATATGTGAGGACCATGTCAGACTTAAGATATTTGTTTTCTCTTGGTTTTGTTTTTTTTTTCTATTTTAGTATGTCCTGTTATTTGTATGTCTTTACATTATTCTCACATGTGTCTACAATATTGGAATATGTATCAGAGCAATGTAAAACAGACTTTTTTTAAAAGAGTAACAAATGGAGTTTCTTGCTCGTTCTTCTCCACTCGAATCGAAATTTTGGAACGAGCGCCTAGCTTCACTGACGGACAGACTGACAGACTAAGTATTATATATTTCATATTTGTTGACGTTTCAAAAGTACGAAATTATGGTTTAATTGAAATAAATGCTTTTGAGTTTGAGTTTGAGTTTATCCAACAGGGGTGGTTGCATGGATGAAGTTAAGCGCCGCATGGATAGCCATGCGGCGCTGGCGCTCTGGCCATAGGGCCAGAACGGTAGAGAAGCTGAAGAGAGTTTGGTGGAATCGCAACATCACTAATACCACCAAGGTCAGAATTAAGCGAGCGCTGGTATTTCCAATTTTCGTCTGCGCGACAGAGACGTGGACAGTACGTGAATTGGAAAAGAGGAAGATAGATGCTCTAGAGATGTGGTGCTGGAGAAAGATGCTTAGTTAGTGGTCGTGGACTGAGTTCCGCACCAACGTATCCATACTCCGAGAACTCGGCTTCACAAACCGTCTATCAACCATATAGTACAGACGCGCATACTGCAGTACTTTGGCCATGTCTGCCATCGTGATAACAACTCCATAGAGCGGCTGGTCGTTCGGAGAAATAGAGGGAACCAGATCATGAGGCAGATCACCTATGCGCCAGACTGATCAAGTCAAATCGGCAACGGGAAACCCAGTGTCAGACTGCGCCAGACAATTCACAAACAGGGAGAGATGGCGGGAGATCGCGAGGAAAGCTATATAGGCCTCCAACACATACGGCCGCCTCAACGTGACCACGACCGCTCTGCCAAGAGCGAAACGACAGAGAAATTAGGTGCTGAACTAGGATCCAACCAACAAAAAGTTTGTTAACCATCAAACAGAATCTATTTCTCTTTTCGTCGCAGGTAACAATGCGGTTCAAAATTCTTTTATTTGTGTGTTTGTTGAGCAGTGCAAGGGTATTCCACGCTGTCTATCATTGAGTTCGTGGGGCAAATGAACCAATATTGTTTTGATGCCGTTGATGTTGCGTGCCACTTCTGCTGCGTTGCTGCCACGACGGTATTATATTCCATTATAACTCAATTTTTTAACCTATCCATCCATGATGACGAAGAATATTGAAATCTGATGAATATCTAACACTAATAAATAATCAAATGACTACTTTTGGAAAAAAAAAATGTTTTTAAAATACCTCTAAAATTAATTTGAAATTAGAGTTCCTAGCAAAAAAAATATTTTTATTTGTAATGGCCAGTAATGCGGAACGGCAATTTCATAGGTAAAGACCTTAATGCTTTTTTATACCGTATATTTCAATTAGTAGTCAACGAAATAAATACTCCTATTTGTTCCCGCTCTTACGATAGCTATAGTGATTTTAAAATGAGGTGAAACTTATAGAATGTTAAATGTATTTTCCATAGCTGCATAAAGGATCAAGGATTGTAGTTAAATAAGAAAATCAAGTTATGCACCTCTGCCTTAGCCTACATTTTTAATGAATTAAATTTGAAATATGGACTGCCCAAGGAGTTTCGGGTTCGATTCCCGGGTCGGGAAAAGTAATGCTGGATTTAAAAAAAATTCTCAGTAGTAGCACGGAGTCTATAATTGTGGTATATGGCAAAAGTGTTACATTGTACAGTGGCATTAAGTGCCGTAATGTGCACCTCTCCCTACCTTTCAGTTTCAGCAATAATTATTTATCTTGTGAATTAAACAAGCTAGTCAGAAAGAGACTAGCTTAATTACAATGTTTAATTATAAAACAAGCTAGTCAAAAATAGACTAGCTTGTTTAATTCACGCGATAAATGATTATTGCATTATATATTGAAAATATATAACAGTTATATAATGTAAAATTCAATATATCGGGGTCGGTGATTATTGGAAAATCGTTGTCAATATTTATGTAATAGCACTGTTTTTTTTTATAATCATAATTGATTACATACCTTTAAATCTTAATTACTTTGCCAAGAGCTATCAACTTCCTGTGGAATTTTATCCGGAAATCGTTAAGTCCCTAACGTTGATTTGATCAATAATATTGAACAAATGATTTTGTTAATTTGTTTTAATTTCTCTTCACCCTATTGATGACAAGACTTGACAAGTACCTATAGTTCTTTTGTATCAAGAACGCGGGTGAGCTATACTTGTAGTACAGTTCACAGCAAGGTCATTCATTGGCATACCGGCCACAACTGGACGTTCCCGCGCGTACGCAAACAAAGGCAATGTGCGTATACGCTCGTGAGATAAAATATCTACATATATTTCATTCCATAAAGAAACCTTGTATATACATCTTAACTTGGTACATTGTTTGAGGACTAAAAGTAAAGGTTTCTAGAATAATGGAACGCGAGAGAAATATAAGGTCGTCTTTAAAAAACTAACGTCTGATATGCTAAACAATAATTAAAGTTCATAGAATCTCAACATCGAAGATGCGCTTGTGGAGGTCTGACTTCTAAGCTTCGAACATAGGCGTAAGGTTGCAAACCTTTCGGTATTTTACCGGATACGTTTTGCTGAGGGGATTTGCACAACTCAACTCCCCCTAGTCCGTTTCATCATTGTACCACAAGACATTGTAACACAACAATCGGCGACGCGCCAGAGCTGCTTCATGGTGGATGTCCCACCCGATGGGACCCAGTAAAGCTGATGCCCGATACGGAGCCGCGGAAGGTATAACGGGTTGCCGGGTCTCCGGCTCGAAGAGCAGGAGTAGTAACGGGGTGGTTTTTTTAACCTTCGGCGTTTCACAGGGCAGTGTCCTTGGACCGACCTTGTTCCTTATCTACATCAATAGCCTCTGTAACATGAGGATTGAGGGAGGGCATATTTTCTCTTATGCTGACGACACTGCCATCGTCTTCACTGCGAAGACTTGGGATGAGGTTCGTGGGTTGGCAGAGAAAGGTCTTGCGAAGATAGCAGCATGGCTAAACCATAGCCTCCTAACGCTAAACGCTTCTAAATGTAACTACATCTGCTTTACTAAGTATAATAATTCGCAACCGCCTCAAGATTTCCAAATAAAAGCCCATATTTGCCACAACTTCCCAGCACTAGACTGTTCCTGTCTACCAATAGACAGGTTGCAGCACACCAAATATCTTGGCATCATGATTGATCAGCGCTTATCTTGGCACATGCACACCGAACTTATTATGAATAGAGTTAGGAAACTTATTTGGTTGTTCAAAACATTGCGACATGTGACTTCAAGGCAACTCCTGAAGCAAGTTTATATGTCTTTAGCTCAGTCTATCCTCATGTATTGTTTGCCTTGCTGGGGAGGCACAACGAAAATGAAATTTTTGGAACTTGAGAGGACTCAAAGAGCCTTACTTAAGGTTATGTTCTTTAAACCCTATGGATACCCTACGCATGCTCTTTATTTATCAGCTGATCTTTTATCTGTTAGAAAACTTTACTTACTCCGACTCATACTGAAAAAACACATAACTCTCCCATACTACCATTGTAAGCCAAAAAACAGAAGAGACCATTTGGTCGCCCCAACTGTTAGGGTAAGATCTGCCTTTGCTAAAAGACAATACCCGAGGCAATCATCTTATTTATACAACTTGCTGAACAAAGAACTACGAATCTATCCCATGAAACTTTGGGACTGTAAAAAAGCTGTAATGGACTGGCTCAAAACAAAGACGTATGACGAAGTTGAGTCAGTTATATCCACTCTTTAATAACAGGATTATTAAAAACAGAGCTGGTGTGCATAGATATAATTAGTGAAGGTAATCTTTTCGGATTCCTTCGATCCCAAGACTTTGTCGTAGGGCTAATTGGTGAACTGGTTAATCAACAGAAAAAAAAAAAAATATATATATATATATATCTCAACTCACACAGTTCCTGATAATCTTACACTCATATTTGCACTCACTCTTTCACTCACCTACTCACTCAATCACTCATACACAGACTCACTATACATGATTTACATACTACACATACATACATTGTGCGATCTGGTATTTTCATAATAACTGTTATTCATTTCAAATAATTATAAATAATTATACTCATTCATTGTCTCGGCGATTAGAATTGTAAGTTTAACTTGATTTATTTTCTTCTTGTTTTATTGTTAATCTTGCATGTTTACATTATCTACATTGTAACTTCAATTACTTAGAATGTCATGTGGAAGTGCGGAGTCTCCTAACACAAGCAATCCATTGCTTAAAAGGTGATCTCCAATAATTTTATGTAATGCCTTTTGTAATTGAAATAAACATTTTTTTATTTTTTTTTTTTTATTTTTTTATTATTATTATTTTTAGTCAGTAAGAGTCTGACACTCCTTCTGACCTAACCAAGGACAGGAGAAGTCATTGGATGATTTTCCCCAAACAAAAGTCACACAAAACGCTTTGCGTCGAGCTTTCTTGAGCGAACTGCTAAGGAGTGGAATTTTATGTCAGTATATGTTTTTTGAAGGGTATATAACCTGGGTGTGTTCAAGTCCCGAGTGAATACGTTGCTTATAGGCAGACGTGCTCCATCGCATTATCGCTTACCAGCAGGCGAGATAATGGCCATATGTCGACCCACCAATAAAAAAAGAAATAATGATCTTAAAACTATGTATCGACAAAATCATTAATGCGTGAGTGAAGCCACAGACATAACTAGTCATTGCTAATATTGCATTTATGTATTGGTCTCTAAATCTCAGCTTCCGGCCTGATAAACTAACGACTGATAAATATCTCAAGTAATTATGCACTATTATAAATACCAGTATTAGTACCATTCCTTTTACTTGTCAAATGAATTTCGGGAGTTGTAAAACATGGAGTACAAAGCCGGACTTCTGGTGTTCATCACTTTATTGATTGGTAGCTTTGGTGAGTTCTGTAACTTCAATGTAATGTTAAAATTATTGACTGATGGTGACTAATGAAACCTTTGCCTTTCTCTAGCATTTCCAACGCCTGAAGATGACATGTCCATCTTCTTCGACCACACTGACGCCAACGCCCGTATTGTCGGCGGCACTGAGTCGGCAGTGGGGGGGCACCCTCACATGGTGGCTCTGTTAGTGGGAGCTATTGTTACAGAATACTACTGTGGCGCTTCCCTGGTCACCCAACGCACTGTGCTTACTGCTGCTCACTGTATTCAAAATATCTACAACAATGATGCGTTCCTCAGGTAAGCATTTCCACATGGGATCGGATCTCTATAGTAAATTTATATTCTAGTATTAGGTACCCGATTTTCTCAATATAATCATACTCGTATTCGCTGTATTCTTTCTTAAAAAGGAACCGTTAGCCGTAGGTGATAATAAACGCCTTTTAGTTTTTATCAGTATCACCCCGTAAGTGACACCTCAAGGTACAGGTAAGGGGTTATATTTATTTATACTTTATTGCACACACAGAAAACATGTTTACATTGTAATAGTAATTTGAGCACAAGGTTAGTATTGTTATTGGTAATATGGTGGCAATTAGCCAACAACTCACCCGGTGGTAAGCAATGCCAACGATGGAGCACACCTACCTACGAGCAACCTAGTCACTCGGGACTTGAAGGATTCCGGCAGGGGGTTCCACTTCTTAGCGCTTCGCACTAGGAAATTCGTGCTAATTAGTGGAATATCTGCCACATAGGGTGGCGCTCCGTCGTTTGTCTAGCGATAAGAGAGTGAAACGGACTAGGGGTTTGTTTTTTTTTGATTAAAATGAGTAATTCCCACACACAATCACCGAAATGTATCCGACAGAAGACCGAAAGGCTTGCGACTTTCCACCTGTGTTCGACGCTTTGAACCGGGCCTCTAAAAGCGAATCATCATTGATGAGCCTCTTGGCATGCTTCTCGATAGATTCAAGAGTTTCAGCTAACATTTGGCCGAGCCATCCCAAAAACTGGAGCAATATCCTTCAGCTCCATATATGACCGAATTAACTTGTGCTTGGTTTTTCCCTACGCTAAGGAACTTTTGGTTTATGGTTGATTAGTGAAAAAAGCGGTCAATATTACTACCAATATATAAAAGTTTGTTTTAATCTAATTACATCTTACAGTTCTGCCCGGATATCTGTTGGCTCAAATCGCTTCGACAGTGGCACTGAATATCCAATGGTCAATAGCGTCATCCACCCTGACTATGACAGAGATATAATTAAGAATGATATTGGTATCATCATCACTGGTTCTGACGTGGCTTACAATGACCTGGTACAGCCTGTATCTCTCTCTTATTCCTTCGTTGGTGCTGGAGTGCCAGCTATAGTGGCTGGTTGGGGAACTACCTCGGTAAGTAAAAATTTTGTGCGATAATTGTGTAATCTATCTGATAAAGAATTCCGTCGTTTCTCAAATAATATCATATTCTAGTCTACTCGTCCCATATCTGCTGTTCTATTGGAGTTGAGAACCACTACTATTGATGGCGAGGACTGCATAGGTCGTGTGAAGCAAGCAGCTAGTCAGATGGGCTATGATTTTCTTTATACTGACCCCAGCTTAGAGGTGTGCACTTTACATTCTCCTGGATTTGGAACTTGCAACGTGAGTTTTAATTTTTGATTTTATGTAGTTTAATGTTTTTATCTTTTCTATTCACTTTTGACTTTTAATCTTTGACTTTAAGTTATACATCTATATATCTATTCATAATTGTATTATTTAAGATTCTCATTTTTAATTTGAATAAAAATTCATACACATTGTCATGTTAAATGAAATAACAATTTCGAACTAATATATATTTTAGGGGCCGATTTTTCCAACGCCAGATAAATTTGGTTAAAGTTTTTTAAACATTGTTCTTGTTAAACATTTTAACTGAGGAATAGTTTTGAAAATTTAACAATTTTTCCATATTAAAAACTGTCAAATGTCAATTTTATTCTACACTTAAAAATTAACGAATCTTTGAAGTGATTTGTTTTGATTGTATTCGGAGCATAATGGGTTTATTATAAAATTCTTGTCCTTTTCTTTCAGGGTGACTCTGGCAGTGCCCTGCGTCGTGTTGACGACGGCCAGCAGTTTGGTATCGTGTCCTGGGGCTTCCCATGTGCTCGCGGCCACCCTGATTTGTTCGTCAGAGTCAGCGCTTACGAGACATGGTTGAAATCCGTGATCGTCTAAAAACTTTAAAGAGCACCAAACAACTGTTTATTGTACAGTATCAGTTAAATAAATATCTTGATAATCTTTTATTTGGTTGTCATTTTTGTTTCCATTCTTCAACATTTCTTGTCGCCCGCTGTTACCGTTTATACGTCTATACATCCTTGCCCCTCTCCGCGTCAGTGGATAGGCAGCCTTAATAAGCAGCATCTCAAGTATTAATAGGAGGGACTATAGCTAATCATCGTCATATTCTTGGCCTTATCTTAAATTACTTCAAGTCATGGTACGGCTCACGATTTTTTTTTATGGCATAAGCCAGCAAACGAGCTGAAAGATCACCTAATGGTACGCAATTGGCGTCGCCCATGTACACCTGGAACACCAGAGGCGTTACAAGTGCATTACCGGCCTTTTGGTGATTAGGAGTTTGAGGATCATTGGGAACATGTAAAAATAAAATAAAATAAAATAAAATAAAAATTCAGGGGTTGGGGAGATTATTGGTTAATTGGGCCTCCTGTAACCTCACTCACACGACGAAACACAACGCAAGCGTTGCTTCACGACGGTTTTCTGTGAGGCTGTGGTATTACTCCGATCGAGCCCGCCCATTCGTGGAAATGAGACGATGTTTAATTTGTCCTATAAATACAGGAAGTTTGGAAGAAAACTTCTGATAATACTGTACCCTTTATTACTAAGCGAAATACCTTTGAGATTTATCATATTCTATGTCAGGATTTATCGTTAATTAGTTTTTATCGGTAGTAGGTTGCTAATTATTTAGATTTCATCTATTTCCTGCGGAATGTTTTACGGAAATCGTTTTGGACTTTGATTTGATTGAAAATAGCAACTTTTTATGTTAAGTGTGTCTGTCTATCTGTCCGTGTGTCCTTCCTCTGAGTTCCCTTCAAAGCATCTGAAATAAGAATATGAAATATGGCAAACACTACCCAATTGCTTCACTTGAAACTGAGGAGGTTCCGTGGTCTTCACGATTCAGAGCTGTGCCCCTGGGAACTCCTCGCTTCCCTGTTTATGATTAAGTTAGGGCAAAATAGACACAATTAAAGAACAATAGGTTGCGGTAACCGGTTACCGCTCGGTGTTTGACAGTTTACTGTCGGACAAAATTAAAATTGAAATGATGGAAACCATCAACAAAATGAACGAAACAACAATTAATGACATACAACAAATCAACTGTCGACAAAATCATTCGTTTTATAAGCAAAGCCATGCGCACAGCTAGTGATAACGAGTATTGATAATTTCTACAAATCAATTTTGAAATCACAAATTCCACTATGACACACCAACAATGATTAGTGACGATTACTAAATTAATAATCTTATGATTTATTTAAAGCAGTGATATAAATATCAATAAATTAATTTATCTCATAATGAAATTTAACACCTGATACACTTATTTTTATTTTACGGTAGTTAATCATCTATTTCTAAATATAGATTATTGTCCACCGCCGTGCCCTCAGGGAAGTGATCGGTGATGGCGACCTCTCGCGTCCGGGCCTGGTGCAGGTCATGATGCGGAGCGAGGGGGACTGGGACGCCGTCTCCTCCTTTTGCAAAGCAGTAATGCTAGCTAAGGAGGACGCGGGACGCGTGAGGCAGCGAAGCGCTGCCTCCTCGCATCCCAGCCATCGCGAAGGACACACCGGGCGTCGGGGATCGCGGGACGATCTCCGGCCACCGTAAGCACGGGCCTGCTGACGGCGAGCATGGGTGGCTCCCCGTCCGACCAGAACTAGGCTCGAGCGTACGGCGCATCGCATTCCGCGCTCGCCTGAAAGAGCCATCAGACCACCACGGATTGGGCCCAACAGGGCTGATGCCGCGGAGAACCTAACGGGTTACCGGTGCTCCGGCTCGACGTGCAGGAGAAGGAACGGAAAGGCGGCGCTAATCGCTTACCATCACGTGATCCGTCTACTTGGTAACCTCCCATTCCATAAAAAAAATCCCTAAACGTTGTCAACGTAGTAAGCAGCAGTACGAACAATGCGTTGTGTGATCAGAGCCACCATGTGACGGTGACTGCCAGCCGCCGCCTCGGTGCCTCCCAAGAGGCCACGACACGCTATATATGTACGACATACCTCTAGATATGTACATATTTATATTCGTTAATACCCATAATCAGCAGCTAATTATCTATTTAGATTTTATCAATTTTCTGTGGACTATGTACCGGAAATCTTACGAACTTTGATCTTAATGATATATAAAGATAGTCACATATAATTAAAACACCACTATTATAGGTATTTGTCTGTTTGTTACATGAGATACAGATAAATCAAATAGGGCAGATATACCTTTTTTGGCTTCCCGAGGTATTTAATCTCGGGAAGCCAAAAAAGGTATATCTGATGATGGATCTAGGTATCACTTGTGAACCCTTACTACTATTGTAAGAACCCAAGGTGCATGGTATTGCCGGATTACCGCCGTAGGATCTGAAAGCGAAGGTACTCGCGCACGTCTGCAATTTGCGCGCTGACGCGCTTCACCGTGGCGAAACTCTGATGCCACGCCAGATTACAGCTTGGTGGGATGAGCTCCGGCGCGATCTCATGGTGGTATGGCAGCAATGACTGTCGCAACCGAGACTGGGCTCGCTGTCATCGTAGCGGTAGTAGTCCCCTTTTTGAGGAGTGGCTTGAGAGACGCTACGGCGTCCTCACCTACCGCTTGACGCAGGTGCTTACCGGACACGAAATTTCCTTCAGGATGAAATGCCGGGGTATTTTCACTGCGAAGACCGCCCGAAGGACACGGTGGAGCATACGGTGGCGGTTTGTCCTGCGTGGACTGAGCATCGCCATGTCCTCAGGGATGTAGTCGGCGACGGCGACCTCCTGCCTCTCGACGGTCATAGGAGTGAGGGGGATAGGAATGCTGGCTCCTCCTTCTGTAAAACAGTCATGCTAGCCAAGGAGGGGGCGAAGTGCGTGAGAGAAGAAACCTCCTCACGCCCCAGCCGTTGTGGGAGTCACTCCGGGCGTCGGAGATCGCGCGACGATCTTTAGCCACCGTAAGTGCGGGTCTGCAGATGGCGAGCAAGAGTATCGCGCCGCCCGACCAGAACTCGGGCTCGGGACGCGACGCGCCGTACGCATGGGGCGTACGCACGGAGCGCACTTCAAAGATTCCAATGCCCGATATGGAGCCGCGGAAGGCCTAACAGGTTGCCGGAGCTCCGGCTTAAAGCAGGAGTAGGAACGGGGTGGTTTTTAGTCCGTAGGAGTCTGACAGTCTCTCCCTCTCGCCTAACCCAAGGCGGGAGAAATGATTGGATGATTTTCCCCCCTCAAAAAAAAGGTGCATGTAATATTCATGTTAGCTCTGATGTGAGCCTTCTGAGGGGCTCATAATAGATAGCTCATAGATTAACATTGTAGAGGCCACTCAAAAATGTCCGGGTATAGATACTGATGGTCTTTCGTGGTGTTTTTAGTGAGGTGAGAATAAAAAACACCCCCTCCCTAATCTTTCTCCTCAAAAAGCTAGGCGCTTATAAGAGGATTTCCCTCCTAATAAGAAAGGTGCAAGACCATGACTAAACAAACATATATTATTGATATCAACTTATCAAGTGAAGCCAGAGACTATCAGGCTCGAACAGTTTCCTGTATGAGACACCGACAGTGATGAATGACGATTGATAAATCAATAATCTGACTACTGAAACAGTATTTATATTTATACGCAATGTGCTTCAATATCTCATTAGTATTCCGAACGTTGCCAAACATGGACTACAAGGTTGGACTTCTGGTGTATATCACCCTTCTGATTGGAAGCTTTGGTAAGTAGTACAGTTTTTTACACGATGTCTTGTTTACGGTGAAAACATTTATATGCTGTATCTTAAATTATATCAATTTTAATAAACTAAATCTTTACTTGTCTACAGCCTTGCCAACGCCCGAAGATGACTTGTCCAGGTTCTTCGACCACACCGATGACGCCAACGCTCGTATCATTGGAGGTACTGAAGTGGCAGCTGGCAGACACCCTCACATGGCGGCTCTGTTCGCAGGAATACATGGGAAGATCTTCATCTGCGGGGGATCACTGGTCACAAAACGCACTGTTCTCACTGCTGCAATTTGTGTTAATGTTATCTACTCCAACTCAATCATTCCGTAAGAGAACAATCTATTTACATTTTTCTACAGTACTTTAAATATTTGCTTTTTTTTTTAAAACAACGTTGCCCGACTTTAAGATTTTGTCATGTGTCGTGGGTATATTTACAAGCATACAAGTTCACATAGACATGGCAAAGAGATGCTCCGTGCGGGAATTGAACCCGCGACAAGTTGCATGGCCAGCCCAGCCACCGCTTCAACTGTGCCGTCAAATAATAATATAGTTACCAAGTGTACCGTTGACTAATCGTACTAATATTTTGTTGTACACAACATACAGGTCTGCGCGGGTGGCTGTCGGCTCAAACCGCTGGGACAGAGGTACCGAGTACACTTTACTTCGGAACGTATCTCATCCTGACTTCGAAATATATAAACGCAAGAATGACATCAGTGTCCTCATCACCTCCACCGACGTGGTGCTCAGCAGCCTGGTGCAGCCGGTGGCCCTCACTTATGACTTCGTTGGTGGAGGAGTGCCGGCTATAGTTGCTGGATGGGGTTCTACTACCGTAAGGAAAAATATTTATCACTAGTAGCCCTTCCTGGTCTTTTACTGTGATGGAAATATTTTAGTGAAATTTTCATAATGCTTTGGTATGTATCCACTTCCAGTTGAATTGGCCGAATCCCCCGTCTGACATTCTGATGGAACTATCAACCACCACCATTGGACGTAAGGAGTGTGTGGCTCGCGTTTTAAAAGGTGCCTTTAATTGGGAGAATGGACAATATAACGATCCCAGAATCGAAGTCTGCACCTTACACTCTAAATCTGGAATTTGCTACGTAAGTTTTTTAATATGATACGATGGTTCAATATATTTTTACATTAAGAATACTACGTTTCACAGAAACAGTAGGATCTTAATAAAACGTGTTTAAGCCGTATATGGAAATGTCAATTACTGTTTAACTATTAAGATGAAATCGGAGATAGAGAGTTACTCTATAGTAAATAGGTATAGTTTAGAAAAAAATATATCGAAGGTACAAGAACGATGCCTAAGTTTTATGTTTTTTTGATGTACAAATTTTTTTGAAAGTATGTGCTTCGGCTTTTGTAGACAGAGGTAATTTATAGCAAAAGGTATTGAGTAAGCAGTAAACTGATGAAAAAATGATAGCTTCGAGTTTGTGATGAAAGTAGTAACTTTTTGCTTTATTCACAGGATGACATTGGCGGTGCTTTACTTCGTGCCGACAACGGCCAGCAGTTCGGTATCGTGTCCTGGGGCTTCCCATGCGCTTTCGGTTACCCCGATGTGTACGTCAGGATCAGCGCTTACGAGAGCTGGTTGAAATCCGTGATTGTTTAAAAACCTTAATGACACCATTTTAGTGATCAAGCACCGAAGAACTGTGAAATCGATCATTATGTATATCAATTTGAATTTGCATCTCTATTGCCGTTAGATTTTCATTTAAAAGAAATTAATGTGAATATAAATAATCACTTGGTGTACCTATTGTGAAAATTTTGTTTTTAATTAAATTTTTTATTGTTTATTTTATTCTGCCTACTTCATTTTATATTAGTAGCTGCTGCCTGCAACGTCGTCCACGTAGATTTAAAATTTCAATTATTGTGAAATAAATTAATTACATATATCGTTGTTTCAAAAAATGAATAATCTATGACTGATAGCTTCTAAATCTATTGTGAACATTTAGAACTTTTTTTTATATCCTTAATTTGTTCGTTTCATTAAAGCCTATAAGTTCCACCCAGATATTAATAGATAAAAGATACCCAAATAATAAATTTACATCCTCTATCATCTCATGTTTTATTGCCAGTAGGGCTGAATTTATCAAAGGCTTATTTAAACGGACGTCTTCATCATAATAAGTCTCATAGTAATCTTTAACTTCAGTACAATCAGTCGAAAATCTAAGAAGATTTATACAAACTATTATCCCCTTGAGGGAGTCATCATCAGCCCGTATTCGCCCACTGCTGGACATAGGCCTCTCCTATGGCACGCCACTGAGCTCGGTCTTCAGCTCTTCTCATCCAACCACTGCCAGTCACCTTGCGGATGTCGTCACTCCACCTAGCTGGAGGGCGCCCTACACTGCGTTTGCCTAGACGCGGGCTCCACTCTAGAACACGTTTACACATTCACGTTTACGTTTGAGGGTAGTGTTTACCAAAATCCTTTCTTAACAGAGGTCTACGTCATAATATCTACCTGTATGCTGAATTTCAAACCGATTCGTCTAGTGGTTTGGCTTATGCGTTGATAGATCACTATGTCAGCCAATCAGTCACCTTTGAGTTATATATACATATTTAGAAGATAGATGATGTAAAATGTATGTTAAATGAGTCTCGTTTTTCTTGTTCATTATTTTTTATCAAACACGCATTTTACCTTTGCTTTGGTTGTCTTCAACCATGGTTTAAGCAATGCAAATGGCTACAAGAGGTTCAACAACACATTACTTCATTTTGTTTTGATCATCCTTTAAGAAACCAGGTGGTAAATCGTTCAAACAAAGTTTTAGTGTGTGAGATGAATGTGACGTATAAAGTAAGATGAGTATCACGTTTTACATGCGAATTTTATAAAAATATATTATTGAAATCATGTATAATTATTGGTATACATAATTATATACCTATAATTGAATGATTCCGATAATTAAAGATAATGGTGGTCCAAGTATACTACCCTGTGGCATCCCAAAACAACAACGTTTTATTTATGTTTAATACAAAACTATATCTAAAGCATTTTGTATACTTCTGAGGTTCCAGGCATTCTTGTTATGATATAGACGTCCACAGCACATGGGCGCACGATCAGGGGGCGGCAATTTGCATAATCAAAATCATTGTCCAGAGTAAACAGAAAACACAAGAAAGGTGCAGTCTGCAATATTTGCGTTATAATCACTATTAATTTGTTATCTGTTGGAATAAGACTAAGATGGAATACCAAAACTTTGGAAATTTTTCACCATCTGTTCAGTGGCGGTGATAGTGATATACACTTTCAATTATATACTTAGTCGTTTTCTATACAGTTAAACTGTCAAACACCAAGCGGTCACCGGTGACCGCAACCTATTGTTCTATAATTGTGTCTATAATGACGGTACTCGACGAGTTAAAGACTGGTAAAATTAGGAGAATTCTACTACTCGCCACCCGATCTCGGTTCATGGCGCGGCGCCCCAAAATCCGATAAAAAAATCCATCTGGACATACTGCGAGCCTTTTATTTAAAATCTTACATGCATGTATTATTTTAATTCTGTATGCGCACACACACACACGTTTCAATAACTCTGCTTAACTTAGCAATTTAAGTGTGGAGAGCCACGCTTCAGCACGAATGGGCCGGCTCAACCGTAGTGACACCACGGTCTCATAGGAAACGGACGTGAAACAACGCTTTTCGTTGTTTCGTCGTGTGAGTGAGGTTATCAGAAGCACAGTAAAAACTGTTTAAAATGCTCAGTTTGTCTTATATTGCAAGCTAACTATTACCTCTTTCCGTTTCTACTTCGTCGACCGGGTCCATGCTTCCCTCCCTACTACATACATATTCTTCTCCGTTATTGCAAGTACCTATTTGACCATTACAATCAGATTTCTAAGTACAATATTATCAGTTTTTATTTGATCTTCTTTCTTGTTTGATTCGTTTGGCGAATCATTATCATCATCATCATAACAGCCACAGGACGTCCACGTTTTCTAATATTTGTTTTATTCTGCCTTCTTCATTTATATTACGCCCATTTAATGTCTTATTTTTCTTAAATATGTTATATCAAACACGCAATTCACCTTTTCTTTAGTTGTCTTCAACCATGCTATGAACAAAGCTAATGGCTACAAGATGTTTAACAACACATTACTTCATTTTTGTTTTGATCATCCTTTAAGAAACCAGATATAAGGGTTAACTTACACCAATCAAATGATTAAATTATAATATTGTACTTAAAACGTAAACTTAGTGTGTATCAATGTGAGTGTGAGTACGTACCATGTGAGAATTTTATAAGAAAATATTATTATGTGTATTATTATAGGTATACATAATTGTTATTTAGAAATAAATGATTATGATACCTAAAAATAATGGTGGTCCAAGTATAGCACCTTGTGGCATGCCAAAACAACAACTTTTTGTTACTTTTTTTAGGGAGGAAACCCGTACCCGTACTCGTCGTCCGCAGGCCTATGCTTACGGTGGCCGGAGATCGTCTCGCAATCCCCGACACCCGGAGTGTCTTTCACGACGGCTGGGTTGTGAGGAGGTAGCATTTCGTTGCCTTGTTGTTATGATTTTAAAGCATGTAATTGTTAAGAAACTCATTATTGTGTTTCTCATTTCTCGTTTGAGTGCCCACATCTTCGAAGATAAAGGGCATGATTTTAAGTTAATGTTATCTATATTAATTAATTTCATTACCAAAGTTGTAAACAAAATATCTTTGTATGTATGCCTAGATAACAATAGGAAAAGATAAAAAAAAACAGATATATCGATTCAATTACACTATTAACTTGGAATTCCCAACAGATTCTCTACGTATTTTATTTATCACTCATTTGGATTTCGCTCGTTGTGAAACATGGACCACAAACCCGTCCTTTTGGTGTTCATCGCCCTTCTGATTGGAAGCTTTGGTGAGTTTAACATTTTAGGTACATCGTAACATATTAATGATGATAAAACATTTGTTTCTATATCTTTACGCTTTTATAGCCTTTCCTACGTCCGAGGATGATATTTCCATCTTCTTCGACCACACCGACGCCAACGCACGTATCGTCGGTGGCACCTAGGCGGCAGCCGGCAGCCACCCTCACATGGTGGCTCTATCCTTCGGTGTTCAAGTAAGGAGTTTCCTCTGCGGAGCATCACTGATCACTCAGCGTACTGTCCTCACTGCTGCTCACTGCATTCATATTGTCAACAGCGAGAACGGGCTGATTGAGTAAAGTTTACGTCTCAAGTTTTTTAAACGAAAATCAGCTAAACTGAGTTATCTCTTTGATAATTATTTATTTGTATTTACAGTTCTTTCCGTGTGTCCGTTGGCTCGAACCAATGGAACAGTGGCACCGAATACGCTGGAGCCTACATCGTGACCCACCCTGACTTTGACATTAGGACTATCAAACACGACATCGGTGTCCTCATCACTTCCACGATTGTAGTTCTCAACAACCTGGTGCAGACGGTACCCGTTACCTACGATTACATTGGTGGAGGAGTCGAAGCCATACTTGGAGGATGGGGCAGAATCAGGGTATGAAAATAAATATAATATTAGCGTAACATTACCAGAAATATGTAGTCAATAAATAAAACAATAGTCATCATTCACCGCTAAATAATTATTATCGTACTGAATATTTTTTTTCTATACTATAAGCTTCGTAAACCACGCGCACGTTTCGTATTTCAGGCTGGAGGCTCCCTGTCCCGCGAACTGCTGGAACTGAGAACTACCTCTCTTGACGGTGCTGACTGCATGATACACGCGGCTCGTTTATCTGTCGTGTTGAGAATGAGGCACGTTCCACCAGTTGATCCTCACGTCGAGGTCTGCGCCTTCCACTCCGCTGGATTTGGCGCTTGCAATGTGAGTATTTACTTTTATGTTTCTTCTTACTAACTTCTTATCGCCACAGTGATTAAGCGAGATTACAAGTAATATTTTTAAACTGAGATGTTTTATTTCTTGTTTATTTTTAGGGTGACTCTGGCAGTGCTTTGCGTCGGGCTTCCGATGGCCACCAGTTCGGTATCGTGTCCTGGGGTTTCCCCTGCGCTCTTGGTGCTCCTGACATGTACGTCAGGATTAGCTCATACCAGATCTGGTTGAAATCTGTCATTGTCTAGTATACTGGAGATGGGTATGAAGAATCAGTGAACTGTCTTTAATGGTGAAAATTTATTTATTTATTTATTTAGAAAATGTACATATACAACACCACAGCTTACGCCATTAAGTTATACTGTTAAACTTATATATATAAATGCAATTATTTAGGTAATTAAAACAAACTAATTCAACTAAATTCAAAAACAAAATTAACAAAAAACAAACAAAAAAAGAAAAACTAAACATTTGAATAACAAATGGTAATTAGAGTAATTATTGTAATTTAACACAAACATTAACATTATAATCAGCTACGTATCATCCATCCTCTCACAAAATCTTAAACATTCACGACACACATCTATCCATCTCATTGCAAATAAATCACACTCTGGTGCTGACATCAGGAGAGAATTGAGCATGGTGAGTACTCGGACCAGCGGAGAATTTGCATGGGCCACTGTACGTGCTTCTGGTACAGCCAATAAGGGATGTTGACGAGGTCGAAGTTGGTGTGTGAGCAGCCTCGGTACTGATAACCGCACCACCTGACCTACAATCTCTGGACAGTCAGATTCACCTCGCAGCGTCTTACAACTCATAGTCATTAAGGAGTAATTACGCCTTACCTCAAGAGAGTTAAACCGTAACATGCCTAACAGAAACTTAGTGGGGTACAGAAAAGGGTAATAGCCAAACCGTTTTCTGTACAAAAACCTCAAAAACGCCTTTTGCACCTTTTCAAGCATCAGAGCATAAGTAACCTCATGCGGACTCCATACCAGAGATGCAGATTCTAGCTTGCTTCTAACCAGGGTCATGTACACCAATTTGATAGCTGTTATATTATCAAATTCGCGCATATTGCGAATTGCAAATCCTAACCTACGATAAGAGTCGCTAGTAACCGCTCTCATGTGGTCATGAAAAGTTAATCGAGGATCGAACCATACCCCTAAATCTTTTACCGAGTAGACACGTTCGATCCTTTCTCCTGCCAAATAGTAGTCCACATGAATGGGCTTGTGAGCTCTAGTAAAAGACATCACATTGCACTTGGCCGTGTTAAAATTAAGTTGATTTTTAATGCTCCAGTTAAGTACGGATTCAATGTCCCCCTGCAATGATTTTGTGTCCGCTATGTTTTGAAAATGGTTTGAAGATAAAGAAACCTTGATTGTATATAATAAATTTAAGGAATGTTAAACATTTTTTATTTTTCCAACATCTCGGAATGGTAAAAACATGTCGTGACAAAATATTGCTAAATTTAATGATGCTGACGAGAATCAGTTTCTGTGTGGTGGTGGTAATTAAGTTATATGTCAAAAGGATCAATCTGAGAAAACAGATAGACTAGACTACCTATGATATTTATGGGGTCTGCAAAGTTAAGGTGTTTTACAAGTATGTTGCAGAAAACGTCACGTTTAACAGCCGAATTGATAAGGTGAATTTATTTTGGAAAAGATCCTATTTGTCACTAGTCTTTCAAAAGCATTTATATTGAGATTACACACAGTCCATTGTGAGTAATGCAATCGAAACCGTTTAGCATTATGCCATTATTTTTATAACAGTAAGTACTGTGTTTAAATAACTTTGTAATTTGCCATAAATTACTCAAATAATGTTGATTTGTGCATTATCTTAATAAATGTCATCGCTGGTATAACCGACTCCTTGCCGATAATGACATTACGTTTAAACAACAGACATAGGTAAAATCCGGTTTTGTCTAATATTCTAAAAATACCTAAATTAACAATTACCGGTATAATTATTACGTTATACCTACAACGTTTTGTTTTTATTTTTTTTTTCCTGTTTTCTCCTGTGTCGTGGGAACGTTCACCAACATACAAGCTCACATACACAGTGACATCACACCCAGGCCGAATCAACAATTTTTGGATCACACAAAGAGTTGCTCCGTGCGGGAATCGAACTCGCTACACGTTGCGCGGCTACCGGTTGCCTAGCCACCGCATCAACCGTGCAGTTAATATATTAAATTGTTTGTGCTATATAATTGGCTAAATTAATTTTATTTTATTGATAGGTTCCACCTTATGTACCATTATTCATCACTTTGTGTACATCGAAGCTACACAATCAAACGCTTTGACCACGTCGCAAAATCGTGTTAAATAAAATATCGTTCAAGTTAACCGACTACATTGATTTTCCTTAGTGCAGTGATTAATTTTAAATGAAAACAAAAATATTATAAACTACTTTATTTTCTTTTCTCGACTCTCCTTCTTCACCTGTTTATCTAGCTTCCTACTTCCAATATACATGCGCAAACCATTCTAAATACCTTCGCTCATCTAATAACCGTCAACTTCAATGTCCCACTCACCGCACTGACTATCTTAACTCTTCCTTTTTCGTTCAATCTGTCTCTCTGTGGAACGCGCTGCCCAAGGAAATCAGAATGGCAAATAATCGCTGTTCATTTAAATTCAAGGTTCGGGAACACATTTATAGAAAGTGGCAAACTCAAAACAGTGGTAATATGTAGTCTATGTATTGCATATATTTATATATTATGTATGTATTATATTATATGTATGCATATTTGGGATATATTATATTTATTATATAATTCATTTTAAGACCCTATACCCTTAGTTATGTATTATCGACTATAACAATCATGTCTTCCCTCTTTTTATTACCTTAACTTCGTTATCTACTTCATACTTTCTTTTTGCAATTTTGCACCTACCGCTTTAACATTCTGCACCACCCAATGGTCGACTGTCAGAAAATGCCTACGGCATTAAGTCCGCCAATTTCACTATTTGTGCAATAAAGTTTTAATAAATAAATAAATAAATTATATTCAAAACTTCATTTATTGTCATGGAAATACTTGGGCTACTTAAATTAACAATACATCTTAAACTTATTAATACATTGCTAATTTGTGTTTTAATTCATTCACTGTTAGAGATATAGGGAAGAACAATTTAACAACAACAATTGTTTTGACACATAGTTATATTTATTTGCACCAGTCGTAATTTCTTGATCATTTAAAGTTCGTTTTTTTATATTTATACGATAACAGAATTCAACCAGGACTGGTAAGCGCTGAGTCTGACGAACATATCAGGAGCGCCGAGAGCACATGGGAAGCCCCAGGACACGATACCGAACTGCTGGCCGTTGTCAACACGACGCAGAGCACTGCCAGAGTCACCCTGCAGAATAGATAATGTTTTCATTACAATATTAAAAACTTTAGTCACTTTGTCCATTTAACTGCATTGCAGTGAATTGATAAAAATAATCATAAGATTGCCTTGTTGGCCGAGTGGTTACAAGTGCGACTGCCGGGCAAGGGGTCTCGGGTTCGATTCCCGGGTCGGGCAAAGTATTACTGGGTTTAAAAAAAATCTCATTAGGAGCACGGAGTCTGGAATTGTGCCCGGTATATGGCAATAGGCTCACCCCCTATTACATGGGATTCATAACATAAATAGTAAAAAGTGGGTGTTACTTCTGTGTGCACCACTGCCAACCCCTTCGGGGATAAAAGGTGTGATGTTATGATGTTATGTTACGATAAATACTCACGTTGCAAGTACCGCGTCCAGGAGAGTGGTAGGTGCAGACCTCAATATGGGGCTCAACGTGAGGAGCTTGTCTCATGTTCAGTTCAATGCGGGCTTGAGCTGCACGAGCCACACAGTCATTACCTTCGATGGTAGTGGTTGTCAGCTCCATCAGAGCAGCAGAACTGGGACCGCCAGCCTGGAATACGAAGAAAAATTAGGTTAATATGATATCATAACATAAATAAAAATGAAGACTTGTATGTATCAAATGAGGTGTTAAATAAATTTGCTAGTTTTGTTATCTTTGCTTACATAATTGTTAAAAAAAACCACGTGACAATATCAACAGCCTATAAGTGCCCATTGCTGAGCAAAGGCTCATAATAATATAGGTTGTTATTGCATAGCATAAATCACCACGTTTGCTCTTTGCGGGTCGGCTGTTTGTCCAGTCCAGGTTTCTTCACAATATTTTCCTTCAAAGATCCTTTCTTTGTCAGTGGCGTCTAAATAATCTTAGAAAGTACATATAACTCGGAAAAAGTCACATTGGTAGGTTTTGATTTTTGAACCAGCATCCTCATGCATGAGAAGCGGGTGTCTTAACCTCCGGGCCGGTGTTTAATATATGAATATAGATTACTACAGATTAATATAGATTATTAATCTAATTTCTTACCCTGATGTTACCCCATCCGGCAACTCTGGCTTGTACTCCCGCTCCAATGAAGTTGTAGGTGATGGGCACGACCTGCACCAGGTTGCTGAGGACTACGTTGGAGGAGGTGATGAGGACTCCGATATCATTCTTGATGACGGGATGCACGTAGTGGGGGTGGGTCACGTTGCGAGATATGGTGTAAGAGGTACCACCGCTGTTCACGCGGTTAGTGCCAACAGTTGCACGGAGGGAGCTAAAATGAGAAAACATTCGTTATAAAGAAAGTATACAATGTATAATTGAACAAATATATTCAGTTTTCGCCATTTTCTTGAAGTGTATAAGACTTAACTGAAAACTAAACAATTATGATAATTTTCTTATCTAGTCAGAGATCCAAAGCTGTACACATGGCGGATACAATGTGCCGCAGTGAGGATAGTGCGCTGAGAGATCAGAGAACCTCCGCAGAAGTTGCTCCGTAAAAGTACCCCAGAAGATAGACCCACCATGTGAGGGTGGCTACCTATAGCTGCCTCATTACCACCGACGATACGAGCGCTGGCGTCGGTGTGGTCGAAGAAGATGGACAAATCATCTTCGGGCGCTGGAAGGGCTAAAGGGGGAAAAGATTTAGTTAGTAGCAATTAGTAATCTTACCTTATACTATTATATAAAGCTAAACAGTTTCTTTGTTGGTTTGATTGTTTGTTTGTTCGAACGCGCTAATCTCCGGAACTACAGGTCCGATTTGAATAATTATTTTTGTGTTGGATAGTCCATTTATCAAGAAATGCTAAAAGCTGTATATGATTGCACGGTTGGCGCTGTGGCTGGGCAACTGGCTGCCGCGCAACGTGTCGCGGTTTCGATTCCCGCACGGAACAACTCTTTGTGTGATCCACAGATTGTTGTTCCGGGTCTGGGTGTCATGTGTATATGAACTTGTATGTTTGTAAACGCACCCACGACACAGGAGAAAATCCTAGTGTGGGGCAACTGTTAATAAAAAATAAAAGCACCACGCTACGAAAAATAGGCGTCTAACAGAACGGGTGAAATCGCGCAGAAGTAGCTATAAGTATCTTAATAATTCTTACGTTTGACGTCATTGTTGATGAACATAAAGTTTCACAACTTACCGAGGCTTCCAATCAGAAGGGTGATGAACACCAGTAATCCCGCTTTGCAGTCCATGTTTAACAACGCCTGAAGTGAGTGTGATGTGCAGACCAAAGATTTCAGAATTTATATTATACTAATTATCGAGATTATAATCAATACCGATAGATAAATTACATTAAATCTGATCAAAAACTCCATTGAAAAACCTGAGAAAAACCCAATATACTTGAGTTTCGTTGATGACTAAACAAAGCTTTCCTCTTTGCATTATTTACCTTTGCTGAATTGACAAATGATAATAATGATAATCATGACGATAGCTTAGCTATTGGGTTTTTCAGTGGAGTCCATTATCTATGTTATAGTGGACTTGTTATTAATCTGAATTATTATCACTGTAATCCATTAACATCAAATGTATAATAAAATCTGTGTGTGGTCATTCAGTCTATAATCAATTTCAAACGAGTAAAGTTGGTTTGAGGGCTTACTCTTGAATCCAATAGAGTGTAAGCATGTTGCACTGACGAAAATAAGAAAAGTGATAATGTAAGTAAGGGCAGTAATAATGTATTGTGTATACCTAATAAATAATATAATCTGTATCCAAGTTGTACTTTTGCAATGTATTTTTTTTTCTATTTGGTGGACCGAGTTTTGACTGCCTGGTGGTAAGCGATGATGCGGTCTACGATAGGGCACGTCGTCCCATAAGCAACCTATTTACTCGGGCCTTGAAGACACCCAAAAATTCCACTCCATAGCACAAGGAAGCTTGATGAGAAGCGCTTCGTCGAAAATCATCGATTGACTTATTCCGTCTGGGTGAGGCGGCTCAGATTCTTACTGACTAAAAACCACCCCGTTCCTACTCCTGTTCTTCGAGCCGGAGTCCTGGTAACCCGTTAAGTTCTCCGCGGCTTCGCATCGGCATAAGCTCTATTGGGCCCCAACGGTGGTGGTCTGATGGCTCTTTGAGGCACGCGTGGAACGCGACGCGCCGTACGCTCAGGTTCGCCGTCCGCAGGCCCGTCCGGTGGCCGTGTGCCGTTCGTGGGGCTTTTTTCGTGTGTATGCTTAATCGGGTTAAAAAGTATTGCACCCAGGATACTAAAGTACCAAGTTTCATTTTTGCATGATGCGTGAACATACAGTTAGGTTCGGTATCTACTTAGAAATACCCCCACTATTTATTTTTTTATTATTTTCAATATACATAATCAACACATCTACAGCTTTCTTATATGTATAGATTTAATTATGAAGTACATACCTATTTAATATTGTATTATAAGTGTACATTACATTACAATATGCCTGATGAATGACACATAAACATCGATTTTTAAACCCTGCTTCTGTTAACTATACTATGACGGATCTCAACCAGTTCTGGTAAGAGCTTATCCTGACGTACATGTCAGGAGCACCGAGAGCGCAGTGGAACAACCAGGACGCGATACCGAACTGGTGGCCATCGGAAGCACGACGTAAAGCACTGCCAGAGTCACCCTGCAGGAAGACATAAATATTTTATTATCTTATTACATTATCCGATCTTTGTTTTCAACAACTAGATGACAACACGCAGACGGTTCACCTTATATTAAGCTATCGGTTCAGTCCGTAGATTCACGAAACACCGGGGGAGTTACCCACAGGTGTGTTGTCATCCTTTTAAGGATTAGGGATTTGAGGATAGGCAGACTGGGCAGTTGGGCTCTGGTAACCTTACTCACACAACGAAGCACAGCGCAAGCGTTTTTGCACGCTGGCTTACGGCCGTATCTATTCTATTCTATTCTATTCTATCCGGTGGTATCTATTCTATTCTAATCATTCTTCTTGGATGAGGCGAGAAAGTGTCAGACTCTTTCTAACTAAAAATCCTGTTCCCCGTGCATTCATACACTGCAAGGTTGTTCACCTCCCCGGCTGGACATCAGTCCTACTAGGCCCATCTGTGGTGGTGTTTAATTTTTTAAGCGAAGCTTCGCAGTTCGCTTAGTTCAGCAGCACATCGCTAGTTTATGATAATTATGTGTACATCTGTTAAACCAATTAGAAAATATGACGTTATGTTCAACATTTAAATGTGAGAGTGTCATGCTTCGGCACGACTGAACCGGCTCGACTGGAGTGATACCACGGCCTCACATAAAATGACGTGAAACAACGCTCGCATTGTGTTTCGCCGTGTGAGTACCGGAGGCCCAATTACCCCCCGTCCCCAGTCTCCCCAATCCCCACAATCCCAAAATTTCCAATTTCCAAAAGGCCAGTAACGCACTTGTAACAGCTCTGGTGTTTCAGGTTTTCATGGGCCACGCCGATTGCTTACCGTCAGGTGATCCGACTGCTCGTTTACTGCCCATAAAAAAAAATTGATGCAGAAGTAGAAAGAAATGGGTGAAGAAAATATAAAAAATGTGATACTAACACCGCAAATACCTAATCCGGTGGGTTGGAGAGTGCAGACCTCAACGTGGGGATCAAGGGGAGGGACATAGTACGGCATCTGCAGCACGAGGGTAGCACGGGCCACGCGTATCATGCAGTCAGCACCGTCGATAGTGCTGGTTCTCATTTCCATCAATTCGTGGGACTCCGTACCATCATCCTGGAATACGCAACAAATATGTAACTTACAGATCTTAGATTACGATAGTGTATCGAGTGCGATATCATTTTTGCTGTAAACTAGTTTTTAGAGCATTGAAACAGAAATAGTTTTCTGTTTCAATATTTCAATAATTGGGGAGTTTCCAGGATATCAAAATTAAAAATCTAATTAGTCCGTCATAATGAAAAAAATATTAGACACGTATTTTTTTTATTTTCTCGTATTAAGTTGCAATGCTTAGATAAAATGGCGTTAAATTTAGGAGTGGGAGGTCGTTACGTCATAACGTGCTATAAAATGTAGAACGATGTGACGTCACACGATATTTCAGATTAACTCGTCGAGTACCGGTTTTATAGACACAATTAAAGAACAATAGGTCGCGGTCACCGGTGACCGCTTGGTGTTTGACAGTTTAATCGTCGAAAGAAAGTATTTAATTTTGTGAGAAAATAAAAAATACGTGTTTAAGTTTTAAATTAATGTACCAATTGGACATTAAAATAAAATTTAGGAAACTACCCTATTCGTTGTTAATTTCTTACGGAAGTTACACCCCATCCTGCAAAGACAACTTGGACTCCTGCGCCAATGTAGTCATAGGTGATGGGAACAAGCTGAACCAGGTCATTGAGGGCCACATTCGTAGTGGTGATAAGAATACCGATGTCATGTTTGACATTTATATTATCGTAGCTAGGGTGGGACACGTTGCCAGCTACATCATACACGATACCGCTTTTCCATTGATATGAGCCAACGGTGACACGAAGAGTTCTAAAAATACATAAACATGACTGTTATTATTAAAGCATACATTATTAAGTAAATACTCAAGGCCTGGCCACTACAGTATCGACCTTACTTAAACATTTCTAGGTTCCGGAAATATATCATTATTATCGTTGTGTAATCAACGAACCTCCACAGAGGAAGTACTTTGCCATCTCGCCGAAGATCAGAGCCACCATGTGAGGGTGCCAGGCACTGCATGGGTACCACCGACGATACGAGCGCTAGCGTCGGTGTGGTCGAAGAAGATGGACATGTCGTCTTCAAGTATTGGAAAGGCTATAGAGGTGTAAAAATGTAATGAATGAAAATAAATAAATTGTTGTTGTACTAGTATACAAGGTGTTGTTTTAAAGCCGCGTCATTTTCTAGGAGGTAACTGGGCTATCGATTCTGAGTCCGAATCAATAAAATAAATTGTAGGTAAATATTTGAAATTACGGATATCCGTAAGTGCTAAGTACACGCCGCCGTCTTGTAACCAGCTTTATAACGCGGCTTAACACACACAAAATCAAAACACGTATTTGGTATTATTTCTAATTCCATAAAACTCCAATAAGAAACATTGCTGTCGCTTATTCTGAAATACTGTCGAAGTTAAACGATTTATTATAGCCGTATTTTTAACTATTGGCCCAAAATTTTCCCGAGAAATGCCACGGTTTCAAAACTACACCTTGTATATAGTGTGAACAAAGTAGTAGAACTCACCAAAGGTGCCAATCAGAAGGGTGATGAACAGTAGAAGTCCGGCTTTATATTCCATGTTTTAAAATGTACGAAACGCGTAATAAATGCATATATATACCTGTATACTAACTACTGAAATTCATGATACTGCTTAAATAGTATGATAACAAGGAATTAAGACCCACCGATAGCGTATCACCTTTAATCGTTCACACTATGCAAGTGATACACGACATGTGCACTGTTAATTTTGTATCTCAAGGAAGCATCATCATCTTTAAGGCCCGAGTGAACAGGTTGCTTATGGGACGACGTGCTCTATCGTAGACCGCATCATCGCTTACCTCCAGGCGAGATAGTGGTCAACGGCGACCTATGAAATATAAAAAAAAATACTTATACCACTATATTTTATATTGAGACTGTTTTTTTTATACTGAGTCGCAAGTACGACAGCCGGGCAAGGGGTCTCGAGTAGAATTTCCAGGTCCTGCAAAGTATTACTGGGTTTTTAAAAACCTCAGTAGTAGCACGGAGTCTGGAAATGTGCCCGGTATATGGCAATAGGCTGACCCCCCATTACATGAGACTCTTAACATAAATAGTGAAAAGTGGGTGTTACATTGTAGTGGCATTAAGTGCCGAAATGTGCACCTCTGCTTACCCCTTTGGGGATAAAAAGGCGTGAAGTTATGTTATTTTATATGTAATGTAGACCTTCTTGGATGGGTCATATCATTGTTTATCATTATCAACAACAACCTGTGTTAGTTCACTGCTGGATTATGAGGCTCGAGACAAGAGAGATTGTTATGATCCATACGCTTGCGGAGTGATTTAGGTTTATCATAGAGCGATGTTACAGCTGGGCTCTGTGAAATATTCCCGAAAAGAGCGTACTGCTTTTTAAAAGGCCGGCAACGCACCTGTGACTCCTCTAGTGTTGCGGGTGTCCATGGGCGGCGCTGAACCCCCCCTTAATAGTCCACTGATAGACTACGAGCCTCCTTTAACCAATCAGTTAAACAGAATTGTAATCTGACTCTGTGAAACAGGCCCTACCTAAAACTTCTTTTTTAGTAAATATTTTTATTGTCAAGGTACATTTATGGCTGCAGATATCCCGTCAAAGTAGATACTCAGTCGAATAAATAACTAGCGAAAAGTAGATATTATGTTACCTTTAATAATTAATTAGATATTAAACTGTAGATAGGCTGCGTGACATCGCCGCGACCGCGCACGCTGCTCATGAGGAAGAACACCCTCTGTGGTTCGAAACTAGTAGAGCTTTTCTCGGTATATTCATGAGAGTAACCCGCGATTTTTACTTAATTTAGTATGTCTCACGATAGTTATTATAAAAACATAGTACCATTATTATTTCCTTATACATATTTATATAAAATTCTCTAAATTACATTCTTAGTTAAAAAAAAATTTCAAATTAATATATCGTTGAAAGTATTCAATTTTAAGAGAAAATAAAAAATACGTGTCTAATGTTTCAAATTAATCTACCAGACGGACAATAAAATAAAATTTTGGAAACTACCCTATTGTTATAAGAAAAGTTGTTTGGTGTATGGACCGATAAATACTTTTGTAAGATTTGACGAAGAGTGTACTCAACAGATTTCTTTAATTTTATTTTTCATATGGAATTGTTTAGGTAAATGAAAATAACTTGTTACTTATAATATAATTATGTAATTATGTATTAAAAATGTAGCTAAGGACTCTTAAATACCACAAACAAAAAATGGAAACGGTACAATGTTATCTGTTACATTATTTACAGATATTTACACTATTCTCATTACAAATTGTACATAATTATAATACGCAATCAATATATGGTGGGAGAATTGGAATTTAATTTTAAAATACAAGAGTTTTAAACCATATTTTAATAATACATTATTAATAATGCACATCGAACAGTTACGTGAACTTTAAAATGACGTCACTTGTTTGTGGAATAAATAATTACTTCTCTAGTAATAAAAGTATAGTAAAATATGATGTTTTGTGACCTTCTCACTAGGTCTATTTTACGGCTATTGATGACGATGACGACGAGCCAGCGAGCCAGCGATCAATGCCGGCACCAGTCCGTGGCGCAGTCCCCGCGACACTTGGAGCGCGTCATGTACCCGCGGCGCAGCGCGCGACATCATCTCACTAGCTCGCACACCTTGCTCATACCCTCCATCGACACTCCTTCCAGTTGCAGTAGTATTGATAGCTCGTCGTCGCCTGTGGGAGGGGGTACTGTTATTTATGTGGTAGCTAATAGGACATACTTTACCTTGTTAAAACGGATTAGTAGAAATAGAAATAATATCCACCTACAAATCTAAGGCTAGGATTGCTACGACTATTTGCTTGATAGTAAAATATTTCAACACCATTTTTTTTAGATTAGAGTCCAGATATCTACTATTTACTATTGTTATAAATTGAGTTGGCGTGTTTATTTATATGTTTGATACTCAATCACGTCGAAACGGCTGAAGTAGAAGTATATTTAGTTTTAAAGCATTTATCAGCATATATTAAGTTCGCTTGTCTTCGATATAAAATAAAAGTGAAAAATACTCACCAATAGAATCCTTCATAGCACCTTTGGGCAGATCATGGTACACGAGGAACCCGCTAAGAATCTTCTTAACATCATCGTCACAGCCACTGATCTTCCGACTGCTGGGTAGACCAAGATACTTCCTCAAAAACGGAGCCAACCTCGATTCCCAACTGTCAAATATACTTGATACTTTTTGCTTAATAGCTAGAGTGAATTCATTTGATATTAAAGGTTCGTTCGTGGCCTCTTGGTCGTCTACTTTCATTTCGTTCATCGTTCTTCTGTTGTGATTGACTATGTGTGATAGTAGAAGCTTTATTTGCCAGATGTGGTAGGAGGTGGGTTCTGGTTTCATTGTTTTTATTATCTGGAAACAAGAGAACATGTAATATTGTTAAACAAAACTTATTGGTCGAGGTTTTCATAACACCTTATTAAGCAATATCGGCGTGACTCGCCGTCCTAAGTGAATATGTATTACTATATATTCAGTGTACTTTCGTCTATCGCGACCATCGGGGGCATTCATAACATTTCATCCTAGATTAGTTAACATTAAGAACATTTATGGCAAATATTAAACAGTGTGACCCACATAAACATTGATTTCTCTTCCTAAACACTGAACACCGACACCTAAGTACGTTTTACTAGTTTAAACTATTTTCTTCTTTAGTCGATTAAAATCACGTTGCCTGTGTTGCTGTTTTATAATATGCTAAGTGATGATATGAACTTTAGAAAGGTAAGCATAAAGTCGATATTCACAATTATTATACGGATATAAATAGCAACTTCGCCAGGGAAGATATAGTATATACTTAAGTATAATTCTCTAGTTGAAGCTGTATGTAGATATATTTGCTGTAATATGGTAATCACATAATCATGAGTACTAAAGATTTCGTGACGTTAGTAGACGGAACAACGACGAGCCCCTAGCGTGCCTTAGAACTAGTCGAATTATCTTGTCAAACTGAACAAGACTAAACAATAATTAAATTGTTATTACTATAAACGACAACTCACCTTCAAGAACGTGGTCCAAATAGGCAGAGCACAGAGTATGTCCTTAACAACACAGTCGTATGTGAGCATGGCGAGTCCTTGCAAATGTTCCCGTTCAGGCCGAGTGTACACTCGACACGTACAAGTACCGAGCACTGGCTCCTTACCACTCTTCCTCCGCCGCGATACCACCAAACAATCCCCACAAATATTTTCACCACCATCTTTGACCAAATATTGTTTGACAAAGTTCCTTATTTTGTCGTCGTTTGTGAATAGTTCTATGTTTTCGGTGTTCGTGGACCAAATGTTGGACTTGTCGAGTGTGAGCGTTTGTGCCAATATTGTGAGGAAGCCTTGAGGGTCGTCTATGTAGGAGAGACAGCCGGCGCGCTGCTTTATGTCTATGCACCATGAGTACTCGAGGAATAGCCTGGAAAGAGGAATAAATTCAGTTTCTGTTAGTTTCTTAATAGATATTGGATTTTTTTATGAAATAAGCCAGTAAACGAGCAGACGGACCACCTGATGGTAAGCAATCGGCGTCGCCCATAGACACCTGTAGGCGTTACAAGTGCGTTACTGGTCTTTTGGGGATTATGGATTTGAGGATTGTTGGGGATTCAGGCATTGGGACAATTGGGGAAGGGGGGAGGGCGGTAATTGGGCCTCCGGTAACCTCACTAACACGACGAAATACAACGCAAGCGTTGTTTCACGTCGATTTTATGCTCGTTGGTGGTATCACTCCGGTCAAGCCAGCCCAGCAGTGCCAAAGCATGGCTCTCCCACACTTGGATGTATTTTCCATACCGGACCAGTCGCGTTCTCTAATAATTTTGCACGTTTTAATCTTCTATCTCCAAAATATAGCTAACCCTTTTATCTAAAGGACACGCAGTTCAGTGGTGGACTAATTTTATCATTTAAACCAAAATAAACTGAAGAATTTAATCATAATAAACTCACTTGAGCTGGTCCCAATTCCTATCTTTCTGGAACGTGATGGGCCAGTATCGTGGGTCGTTGATCTTCACTTCCTTCAACGTACTCAGTTCCGGTATGATGCAGGGCGCCTTCATCTCTTTCACCACGCCGTTTAGGTCTATTACCTGTTAAGAGAAAAACTATGTATCAATATAGATTGCTTGCATAAGAACCTTCACTTTAGAATGGGAATTGTAAACTATGTTTAAAAAATTCGACTTAAATTGAATCCCCTCTTTAATTGAAGTCGGTTAATTAATGTACTAAAACCTTCTCTTAAGTGTAACAAACACTTTTCTGAAAAATGCATCAAAATCGGTTCAGATAATCGGGAGATAATCGCGGACATACATACATACAGGTCAAACGTAGAACCTCCTTTTTCTGAAGTCGGTTAAAAACAACATTATCTATACACACTATATAACACACAAATCATTACATTCATATATAACATTATATATATAAAAATGAAACCCGTTTTTTTATGGCATAACCCAGTAAACGAGCAGACGGATCACCTGATGGTAAACAATCGGTGTCGCCCATGGACACCTGGAACACCAGAGGCGTTACAAGTGCGTTACCGGCCTTTTGGGGATTAGGAGTTTGAGGATTGTTGGAGATTCAGGAATTGGAGAGATTGGGGAAGGGGAGGGTAATTGGGACCCCGGTAACCTCACTCACACGACGAAACATAACGCAAGCGTTGTTTCTCATCTGTTGTGTCTGAGGCCGTCGGCCGTGGTATTACTCCGGTCGAGCCAGCCCATTCGTGCCGAAGCATGGCTCTACCGCACTTAAACGTTTTCCGTTGTCACGCCATAATTTGAAAATGGCTGGACCGATTTGGCAGATTCTTTTTTGTTGTGTTTGTTATTATCAGGAGAAGGTTTTTATGATAGAAAAAGCTAGTAAATATAAGCTAGCTAGCTAGTAAGTAAAAGATAGTTTAATATATAGGTAAATAGTTACCTGTATATGTGCGTAACATAGCTTCTCAGTGCTGATATCCCGCGGTAGTATGAGCCTGGCCTCCACTGCCAATACGTACAGGTGTCTGAAGGCTTGCAAGTGGTACCTGTTCATGAAAAATTATCAAGACATTTGTGAGTCACGTCTGTATATGGATTTGGTCTTAGTATTGCTCCAATGAGTTAGAGAAGATGCCTTCGGTTAACAGTAGCCACTTATAAGCTGATCATATAGTGAGATGTAATATAAATAAATAATAAATAAAAATAAAAAAGCCATTTATTTCTTACAGGTAATTTTACATTTTATTCTAGATGTTAGTCTTAAACAAATCTTAAAGTTAATTTATTGTTAGTGTTGGTTTGTTTGCATCCTGTAAGAACCCCTATTGGGTAAAAGCCTCCTCCAAAACATTCCACTTTTCTCTATCCTGTGCTACAATAGACCATTGAGGGCCCGCTATTTCCTTAATTTCATCTTCCCAACGTGTCGTGGGTTTTCCTATATTTCGCTAGTGTGATCTAATAAGGAATATGAAATAATTTGTTACAATTTGAGCTGTGAGAGCCTCACTAGGTATAGCCTGTATCGCGGCTATCAAACACAATCCGTTTACCATCTGTTTACGAAAAGAATCTGCATGCTTACTGTAATATACTTAAGTTTACTTACTTAAATTTAAATGTGAGAAAATGGGATGAATGTGTGTGAGGTCTGTGCAAGTGTTCACTAACCCTTTGAGTACCGTCATTATAGACACAATTAAAGAATAATTGGTTGCGGTCACCGGTGTCTTCGCGGTGTTTGACAGTTTAATAGTGTGTACTGAGTGTAGTAAAGGTATCAAGCGAAAATTCGAAGACAATGTTCTATCTCATCGTAATTCATATTGATTATAATCTTTCTAACTTTTACCTGAGCATCACGGGTTGTGCTGTAATTGATATTCAGTTGGTGTCCAATTTTATTACATAGATAAGGAAACATATACTTTGTGATCTCCTATCAAACGATGTATTGAAGTTCGCGGTCATAGTTTTAAAGAGTGTGAAATGCTCTAATAGGTTTTCGATTTCGCAGTCCATGAAAAATCGTCATGATAATAAGGTTCAAAATACCGAATCAGGGTATATCTTACAAGTAAAGTGATTAGCTTGACATAAGCAAATTTTTTATTGATCAATATAGACCTTAAGTTAAACTGAAATCTCAATATTTTACAACATGCAACAAATTACATCTTAACTAAAAATCGCGGATTACTTGCGTGAATATACTGAGAAAAGTTCTACTAGTTTCTAATCACAGAGAGCTTTTTTCAGTATATTCCTCGGAACAATAACTAGGCATGGAAGCCAGGCTAAAATAGTAATTTACAAACGTATATCTGATGCTCTCGCTCTTTACACAATTTTGCGTAAGCGAGAATGAGACCGCAAACTAAACATAGTTCTATAATAATTTGCAGGTTGTCACAACTTTCAGTGGACTCATTACAATCTTATGTCATTGGACTTATTCAGCATACTACCAAATTCAAAATCACGTTTTGACGTTCTATGTTTCACAGTTTCACTCAAGTTTGACACCTTCCTCACTTTGCCGGATTATAGTACTGAAGTGTCACCGTGGTTGTATTTACGGCTCCTGATTATAAAAAATGTTTTTTATGGAATTAGCGCAAAAGAAAGGAAGAAAGGAAGTGTATGGTCGTTCTTTATTATGTGTTTTCCTTAATAAAAATACGTCTTGTGTGATTGACGGCTGCAATTCACATTTAGGAAGAAAAGAAAACAGTGGTGAAAAAATACACTTTCATTCGTAAGTTTTTGATATGTTTTAAAATAAATTATATTGGAAATACCGGTAAACTATAAATAAATGTTACTTATTTATTGTCGTACTTTTCAATTGTAAGCCTAAACAGTATTATTCCATCTTTTCCTAAAAAATCTAAATCAATTTTCTAAGTCAGTTTTTAAGCTAGTGATGTGGTCATGTTACATATCGATATTTTAGTTAGGCTTTGAAGTTCTTTATAGTATAGACGTCGTTTAGAACCCGAATCACATGATACCTTTGATGATTTGACAGACCACGACTACATTTTGTACCCATCATCTATTACGGAATATTCTAAAAATGTCATAGAATACATAATCGGCTTTATTGGAAAGAAATTAAAAAATCTTTACAATGCGAAAAATGCATAGAAAGTCTTGAAAACACGGAGAGTATTCCTTAAAGATCTTTGATATCTTTAAATATAGAGGTAGAAGAGGCCTATTTAAACCAACATATGGCTTAACCAAGATCTGTCAGCTGACCGAAAAAATTATAAGAGAATATCAAGTGCATATTGATTCAAAATCTCTCGGTAAACCAAAATAATTATTAGATTGATTAATAAAGTTTCAGCAAATGTGTTGCCGTCAGAAAATTTTCGAGAAAAAAAAGATTATTCATTAGAACAATCTTTCTATGTTGATCACAGAAATCTTATAAAGTCCATAGCACAAAAATATTTTAAACTTAGGATACATTTTAACAAAGACAATTATATTTAAAAGTCAATGATAAACACATAATAGTGCACCACTACCACGGTTTGTAAA